AAGTAAATCATAATCGATTAATAAAAGAATTTAAAGAATGCGATTATATTTTGATTCATATCTAATCAGATCTTACCAAACATATAAGTTTGAGAAATTATTATAAGGGCATGTGCCTCCTTCAAAATTCTTAAGAAAATTGAAACTAATGCTTCTCGCCTTGATTTATCTTTTAATATATAAATCCATCATGTTATTAATATTGAATATATTTTATCATCTAAGGGAGTTAGCAAACCTCCACTTCTTTAATCTAACTCTTTAGTACGAAACATAATACTCTATTTATTGAATCTAACTTTTTTATACATCGATCATATCATCACTAAAGAAGCATATATTAATCCAACCACTAAGGATAGATTTTTAATTCATTAAAATACAATCTATTGATGATACATGATTGACTCGTACTAATTTAGAAATTTGGCCCCATAACTAATAGAAGACTATTTACATTTTAACTATACATAGTAAATTTCAATTGAGCCCCTAAGAGTTGATGTGGCACATCACGTGGATAAAGATAATCAAGCTAAAAATCTAATTATAATATCTAAGACCAAAGCCCCCCAAAAAAAAAGATAAAAGAAAATGCTCAATTATAAGAGCACAATGAAGAGCCTAATTAAGACTCTATAGTTTTGAATATTTTAAATATAATTTATATTTTATTTTTCATCTACAAATTTATATGGTAGACTATGATAATTTTGTTATTGATAACATATTAAAATAAGGTGGTTAGAATTATTTTTCATTAATGGCAACCTACCCTTCTTTTCCCTCCTTTTTTTCCTCCAAAATTGGTTGCCTAAGAGTCTTATAATAACCATAAATATGGACTAAACCATTTTATAATATTATTAATGAATGAAATATTTTGGTGGAGAAGTAGTCTTTATTTACTCGGTGCTTGGTGGCTTCAAGTGGTTCACACATTTTTTGTGAGTTATGTAATTATCTAGGTATTTTCTTTAAATTAGTTATTACATGTGACACCCCAAGATCTCAATTGGGAAGAATTATCTATTTTGTCTCTTAATTAATCTATCAAAGCTTCTAATAATTAATTATTATAATAAAACTAATAAAAGTAACTACAAATTATATGCATCAAAATATTTCATATTCATTCCTCAAAATTCAATTTATAATAGCTAGGATATCAAAGAATACATCGGTCTATCTTTATATGCTCCTAACTACAAAAGAATGAAACCAAATATTAAAATAAAATAAAATTTGAATTCTGATTTATCTCACTCAACTGGATCCTAACCCCTTCCTAAAAATATGTAAAACCACAAAGTGAGCTAACACCTCAGTAGGTTATCAAAACATATAACTGCAATCAATGCAAGATAATAGTAGTAGTATACGTATAATTATTAAATCCAAAGTAGTATAATTATGTATCAATCAATATAAATAGTATCATTTCATATGAGTAATAGAAATCATTAATATAAATATAATTCATTAGTAGTCATATAAAGTATCAGTGTATTATGTCATTGATATACTCATGTCAAATACAACATAGTAGGTATATTCTGAATTCATGCATGTCAATTAATTATGCTTTATTTCATTATATATATTATTTCATTTACATTTGTATACCTATCATATTAAACTAGTGGACACTTATTATATGCATGTTATGTAGCATTAAGTATCAATACAAATATATCATGTATTCCTATCATATTCAATGCAATATGATATCATGTGTATTTCATGTATAGCATATGTCTTTATAGCAATCTCATCAGTCATATCAATCTTATCATATGCATATATCGGTCATATCTTGTATCATGTGTATATCATATCATATCACTTATGTTATTTATCATGCACGATGATGTCATATGCTTATGAAAGCAAGATATGATATCTAGCTACTTGTGGTATTTTTTTATATCATGACCTATAGGCCAACCCTATATGAATCAATCTCAATTACATCAGCCATATTTGTAGCAATTGGTCTCATATCGCATATCACAAGTCTTTATGCAGCATTAAGTATCAATACAAATATATCATGTATTCCTATCATATTCAATGCAATATGATATCATGTATTTCATGTATATCATATGTCTTTATAGCAATCTCATCAGTCATATCAATCTTATCATATGCATATATCGATCATATCTTGTATCATGTGTATATCATATCATATCACTTATGTTATTTATCATGCACGATGATGTCATATGCTTATGAAAGCAAGATATGATATCTAGCTACTTGTGGTATTTTTTTATATCTTGACTTATAGGCCAACCCTATATGAATCAATCTCAATTACATCAGTCATATTTGTAGCAATTGGTCTCATATCACATATCACAAGTCATATGATTTTCATGTAAGAAGTCATCACTTGTTTCCTATTAATATATCATATCATATCATATCAGTCAATCTCCTTATAACTCCCTTTTCATATCACTTAGAATTATATAATAATTTTTTTTAAGAAAAGCACATCGGCCCACTCTACTATATAGGATAATGTCTCTAGCCAATCTAAAGATTTTATGCATATAGATCATATAATAATAAGCATAATAGAAACCCAATGCAATTATCATCACACTAATCAATATGCATTTAGTATGAAAAAATATTCATTTGAGTAAATAAATAGTAAATTAATGCATGTCATATATTTTATTCCAAGATACATTATACTAACTCCTAATAATCTTATACCCAGTATTATACAACTCATTTTAGATAAAATGACATATAGAAGAAATCACCAAATGAATTTATAGATAAATCAGTCAAAATACTCAAGGTAATAATATCTACTACATATCAAAAGTTACATAGTAAAAATCATTAAAATGGGAGATATTGCATTTTAATCAATTTTAGGAGGAAAAAAATCAGCAAAATATAAAATAATTGAAAACATAAATAGGATTAGCGTTACCAACCACAATTAGAGAAACATTTATATTATGAGTGATATAAAATACAAGCCCAATCCTTACTTTCTCTCCTCTCTCTCTCTCTCTCTCTCTCTCTCTCTCTCTCTCTCTCTCTCTCTAGCCTACTCCAACCTCTTCCTCCATAACATAAGCATCTCCTAAAATCAATAAACTAGCAACCAAAATTTTAGGCCATATACTTTCGCATAGCTCTAGTGAAACACTTCAACCTTGTCTTATTCTTTACATCTTGGCATCAACTTAAATTCTTCCAAATTATATCATCAATTACAGATCATAAGCTCACATCCCCAGCTAACCTTCCACCATCATTTTCAATCATTTATTCAGCATAAAGGCTACTATTCTAAATCAGCTCAAATTAGACTAGTCTTGACATTCCTATTTGTATACCAATTGAAACTCCTCATCATTCCACCACAAACTTCGAACCTCTTTTTTAAATAGTATGCTAAAGATCCATATTCTTTTTCTAGTCATTAATCTCATCAAAAAGCTACCCACCTTCATTAATGGAGATAAGTAATTTTATTTTTATGTTAGGAGATATGGATGAAGCTATCAAAAGTACTAAGAGAGTTTCTTGGCTTTAATATGGGAAAATCTAAGGGTCCGTGAGAGGTACTATTAGGTTTTGGGATAATTTTCATACTTAATTTTATATAAAGATTATGAGATAATTTTCAAAGGGTAAATGATGGATGGTGGGCATTTATGGATAACTTGGGATGTTGGGGAGGATATTTTATATGGAGTTAAAAGAATGGCATCCTAATCATTTATATCAAGAATTATGAACTCCATCAAATGACTTGAATTGATTCCACTTGTTAATTTAATGTTTATTTGATATAATACCAAAAATTCATCTAATTGACCATAGATCTTGGTAATATTTTCAAATCCCAAAGCCCCTAAATATTCAAACTAGAAACATATAGGATCCACTCCATGACCATCCAAACTCCTTTTTTAATAAACTTATAATCAAAATAAAAGCAATAATTAGATAAACTCAATGATATAGACAATGTCTTGATCCATGCAAATAGACTTGAATCGAGTACCAAGAAGTATAGTTGGAAACTTTATGAGACTATTTGAGGGACCAATCATCCTATAAATCTTGTGTGTTTAAAGTCAAAATGAGCAATTCAACGAGATAAATCAAATGAGTGTAAGATTATTCAATTCTAATATCATTAAAGCCCTTAGATGGCTGATAAGTATTATATTATAATCCCAAAGCCTAGAATTAGACATATGTTGTCCACTTTTATAATCACCACATAGATCTACGCTCATCATCTCCAATAGCATCAGTGCTCATTATAGCTAATAATGGTGAGGCTTACCACCACAAACAAGGTTAGTGTCTATTTTCAACACAAACACCTATGTCATCGCCGCTAACAACAAGAAGTCCCAAAATTGCTAATAATTTTGATATGCATCATCTCAAATAACATAAATGTCTTTCATTATCAATAATTCCAATGCCCGTCATTTGCACCAGTGACAATACTCAACAACAAGATTAATTCCTTGATCTTATAGAATTAATGCATGTATAATAGGAAAGCTATCAATATTGGATAAAATTTTATTTATAATATAAGTTCTTTAGTCATATTGACACAAACAAAAATTAAACATAGCCGACCAATAACCAAACTCGACCAGATTCAAGATCCAAATGATTTTTTTTTTTTTTTTTTTTTTTTTGAATTTTGAATCTTCAGCTAGAAGAATCTGAGATAAATTCGTTAATAGGCCAACCAATGCTTGGCAGCAACGTAATTAGCCCCATCCGTTGTGGTAAGCACCCGACAGCTCAGATTATGCGGGCGGGGCTAGGAAAAGCGCGGGTGTCACTTTCGGAGCCAACCGACACAAGTCAAAAGCGAGGTGCTGCGGCGGTCATTTTGTTCACGATCGGGGGGTAAATCCGTCATTTGATGTATTTTGAAAAGGTTGGCACTGGGCAAGCACACTACTTGGCTAACCAAGGCCGCTTAATAAAGAGCGAAGAACCCCTCACGCTCCCCTCCCTTTCGCCCTTCTCTTCCGTTTATTTTCTCTTTTTCGGCTTAGCCCTCGTCCGTTACATTCGTGGTGTCTCCTCGGCACCACGTCGAACACTTGGCGGGACCCGGCGGAAGTGTCGCGTCTCGCCACCGTGCTTGCCGGAGGCTGCTGTTTATCGACTGGAGGAAGTAGAGGGGAGGCGAGCCGAACCATCGATGGTTTGATGTGGTGATGGGAATCGACGAAGGAGGGAGGCGGTTGATGGGAAGAGTGGGTTTTGGTGTTGCGGTGGGGTGTGCGGTGGTTTCTTGTGCGATCGCAGCTATACTTGTTGGCCGACGAGCGAGGAGCCGGCGGCGGTGGGGAAGGGCGGTGGAAGTGGTTCGGGAGTTCGAGGAGGGGTGCTCCACTTCGATCGGGCGGCTCAGGCAGGTGGTTGACGCCATGGCTGTCGAGATGAACGCCGGGCTCGCATCAGAAGGCGGTAGCAAGCTCAAGATGCTTCTTACCTTCATAGATAGTCTTCCGGATGGGTATGGTGGTTTCTTTGGTTTTTTTTTTCTTTTCGCCCTGCCCAGCCTCCTTATTCTTGAATATTTTTGGGCTTCTCGAGTTGATGATCATTTAATGAAAGGTGGGGCCTTTGAGTGCTCGCAGTGCTGGATTTTGTCTTTCTTGATGCTGTATTGTGAAATTGGACCTGGGTTTGGTATGGTCGAAAACCTTATTTTGATCATTTTATGTGATTGGAAGTTTGTGCTGGTTCCTATCCAATAAATTGTTTCTGTACTATTCATAGAGCGTGTTGAATAAATTTAATATTTGGAAAGTTGTTGTGAGGTTACAGTTTAGTAATTTATTTAAAATATATCTAAAAGCATCGACGAACAGCTTGGAAGTTTGACAATACCTGGGATTTGTTCATTTTGGTTATGCAAGGCCTTCATGGATATTTTCCTCGAGTTACACTATTACATTGTGGTTACTGCAGTTCATTTAGGTCTTTGTATTTGGTTGATGGGTTTTGCTGCGTGGATTGAATACTATCTTTCTTAAATGGTATGCTTTCTGGCATGTAAAGTTGCTTGCCTGCAAAGTTGAGTGCATCAATTTTCTCTGCTCATTTGGGGATCACATAGCTTATGTTTTCCTCCTGTGTAGCTGCAGTTAGGGCTGATTAAGGAAGCTTTTCCTTGTTTCTGTTTAAGAATCTTTTGTTTTCTTGCCATTTTTTTGCAATTTCTTCATAGCATTGTTGCTATCTTTGATGTTGTTAATATTTTACCATTACCACTCCCCATAATCTACCCGTTCCCTCTCGTGAGCATTCTTTGATGCTTGGATCATTCTGCTTAACTATTGCTCACTGAGCTTGATTAGTTTATCTTACACTTTTAGTTAGCTTGCTATGGGTTTGTCATTGGCATCTAGGCTGTACGATGGTACCTCTTAGATGATTCAGATAAATAGGAAGCTTCAAGAAATTGCTGTGAAGAAGATAAATCCATTTTCTCGATCTGCTTCCCACAGGAGTAGATCCAAGTTTATCTGATTGATTTTTGCATCCCTATATGCCCATTCTTTTTTATTTTCTAATGACGGTTTACAAATGTCATATATTTCCCATGTAAATAGTGGAAAAATCATTATTTAAATAGAGGGGTGGTAAAAAGAAACTATTAAAAAATCAAAATTAGAAGTCTGACTTTCTAATGTAACATAAGTAGAGAAAAAGTTTAATAAAAATGGTAAAGAAGACAACCTACAAAAGAAAACAAAAAAAAAATCTCTTTTAATTTAGGTATTATGTTCACGCGTCTTAAATTATGTCAGAAGCTTTTTCATTGCATCAAAATCCTTGATCATTGATTCTACCTAAAAAAATTTACAATGTTCTTCCCAATATATTTTACAAATCAATCATTGAATTTGGAAGAAAATCACCATTCATCTCATTTCATAGGAAACCGACAGCAAAGAGAATTCCAACTGGCTCTAATCTTATCATAATAATCTTCATTGTTAAAAATGTATTATAATCATAGTAGTCGATCAAGTAGAGTTAAGAGAAACTACATTGATCGATCAATAAGAAAATATATGATCAATTTTCTTGCCCAACATTTGACATAGATAAAAAATGATGGGGAAATTTTGAAAAACTTGATTTTGATGAGCTTGAATTTCAAAATGTTGCAATTGAAATTTTAAATATGGTTTTTTTTTTTTTCTTTTCGGTGAACTCTTTAGGATAAAATAGATTTGCAACATGGTAAATATCATCAATTTTAAGTGATGAATGTCTATCTCGAGAATCCAAGGATGAACTAAGAATCAGTAGTCCTATAACATATTCTTTAAATATGTTGTTCATTTCTTGCAATGGTGTGTATAAGTGGCTATGAAAATATCAAATTTATAATGTCTTTTATATGAACAAAGCATCCTTGACTACTTATTAGGTGTTTTCTATGGCTTTAGGTTTGCTTTTCATGTTGATTGAAATGGGCAATAGAATCCCAACTCCAATTTTGTTTGATTTTTTTATTTTATTTAATTTTTTTATTATTATTTTTTTAAGTATCTAAGAAACTACAGTTGTTTGTGAACAAGTTTTCTTCAAGAAGACCCAGGCTAATTTGTCTAGATTAGACAATTATGTTAATGCGAATATATAATAGATCTCTTTTATCTTGTTTTCTCATTATTTTTTCACGCAGCACTCTACATTGATTTTGTGTAATTTAATAAGTTGATAGTTGAAACAAAGGTAAGCATAAATTTGTTGTATATCCATCTCTTAATGGGTTTATCGTAACTAAATCTCATTTCCTACGGCATAGCCATATGATTTTGTATTGCATTCTTATCTATATTTTTTTATTTGCTTGTTCAAGTTAATTAACATTACAATTTCGTTACTTCACTTCTTCATGCAGGAAAGAGATGGGAACTTACTATTCTCTTGATCTTGGAGCCACAAGTCTTAGAGTATTGCGTGTAGAGCTTGGAGGAACTCGCTCCATGATTTTGAGGCATCAAGTTGAAAGCCAACCAATTTTGCCATATCTAATGACGGGTACAGCCGAGGTAATTGGACTGTAAGTTTTAATTGAATTTTCTTTCTCATGATTCTAAGAATTTAGCTGAAAATTATTTCCAACTTCTTTTTGATGCAGGAGCTATTTGATTTTATTGCTATGACGCTGCAAAATTTTGTAGAAAAAGTTGAAGGACTCGAGCATACAAGTGATTTAAGAAGGGAGCTCGCATTTACTTTCTCTTTTCCTGTTAGACAAATTTCAGTTTCTTCAGGCATCCTCATTAGATGGACAAAAGGATTTGCAATCGAAGATGCTGTAAGTTAAACTTGTATTCGCACAAAAATTTAGTATTTTCCTAAGAATTCATCTTTGGTTGGCATTTTGTTGTTGACAGTGAAGTCATTTGCTGTCTCCATTGTTACTGTTAATGGTCTACTATTGTAATGCCATTTTTAAAAGTATGGTAACCTTTAGCAGTGTAGTACCTGCATCAGGGTGTTTAAATTCTAGAGTCAAATTATATTTGGGCTCTTTGCTTGACAGTGGTAATCTCCTAGAACTTTTTTAGCTCCTTTTCTAGAAAAATACCTTATACTAGTTTGAGGATGATATCAGGCTATGAGAGTATGCAATTGGGGTACTTGATATTTGAAGCTCTAATTGAGTACACACCTTATTTTCCACTTATTGCTATTTATTCTATCAATGTATTGGTTCACATGCAGTAGCAGATGATTGATAAGTGCATTTTAATGTTTCCACTTTGAAAACTGCAGTTTATTTTGGTAAGAACCACCATCGTCCCATTCAATAACCAATCTTGCTGACTAGTTTTACCATGATATTTCTGGAGATTGGTATTAGTCTTCGTACCTGTGAAAGTTGAGTAAGTTAACAATTTTCAAACCAAATATTTTAATTTATTAGCATTCAGAAAGTGAAGTTTTTTTATGTAACGATCTCTTTGTGATCCATTCATCTATACTTGTACTGAACAATACTTTCTATACAACTTGCTTGTACACTTTGGGTTTGGATTGAATTACTGTATATCATAGCCATTATTTTGTGCAGCACAAACCTCCATTTATTTGTGAATGAATTCAAGAACTTTTCTTTGCATTTCATTCTTCTTAACATTTTATGTGGCAAATGAAAACTCGGATGATTATTTATTTCCCATTTGTTTCTTTTGTAGCCATCAATTTTATCTCGGATAGATTGCATTAAAGCACTGTATTAGTGCTTTCATGTTCTTGGTTAATTTATGCATTCTAATAGGAAACAAACGGAAGCTTACCGTTTATTTACTTTGATGGATGCACTTGCCAAAAAGGAAGATGCAAGATCTAAGTTTTGCAATCATTATCTTCTGAAAGCGTATTTTTTTAATTATCTTCGTTGTTCAGTCGGTTTACTTTGTGTTTTATTTCTTGGAATTACAACTCTATTAGAAAACAAATGTGGCAATGTACGAAGTTTTACAGCTTCTGTTTACACCTTTATATCAGTCTTTTATTTATTCAGTCTTGTGGTTGTGTAATGTGTAGTGAGTTATGTTTCTGTCTAAAGAAATATCCATCAAATTCAACTTAAAGCTTACCTTCTTATTTTCTTATTTGCCAGCCATAGTTGGAATTTTCTAGCAATCTGTATCGTTTTGTTTTTCTTCAATGAGATTTTGTAGTTCCAGTATGAATATTTTTCCTATTTTTGATTTTTTTTTTAATGTTTTGTGCACATGCTTATTGTGGTGGGCATTAGCGATAAAGTTCAATTAATAAGCTTGTATATGAAGGAAGAAACTAACATTTAGCATGGAATGCAGATTGGAAAAGATGTTGCACGATGTTTAGAAGAAGCAATGAGCAAACGGGGACTAAACATGCGGGTCACAGCATTGGTATATTTAGCTAAATGTTTCATTGCATTTTATGGCTCTCCTTCAATCATTTTAGTTATTCCATTTTTATAAGTGGTAATGTCTCTTATCATCCATTTTATACCATACATTGTCAATATATACATTTAAAGGCAGATCTTTCCATGATTTGAATGCATGTGTACATCTTAATTATGTTTTTTTTTTGCTGTTTGTCAGCATTTATTTTTGTGTGTTAAGAGGAGAAATATCTTTTTTTATGTGTATTATCCAATAGAGAATATGATGTTGAACCAAGCTAGCCATGGTTGGGGTGTGATTATTGATTTAATAGAGTTTCCAATTATGATATCTCGATTAAGGAAATAGGAATTAAATGAAATCCCAAATATGAAGTTAATTTGGAGTAATTGATTAAGAGACTTAATTGGGAGAAGTAAAAGGGGAAAAGGAGAGAGGGAGGGGCCGACCCCTTTGATGGGGATTTGATTGGAGTGTTTTATGACTTGTCAATCCTAGGCTATCAATTATGGGAGGGGAAATTTAGGCCAATCTCCCATTAAATTCAAATTGGCATGATTGGGGGAGGTTTCTTAATATAGCTCATGTTATTTTAGGAAAGGGATTTCAGATTTTGAGTAAATTAAAATTTGATTTGAAAACCTTACTGATTTAAAATGCGCTAATTATGGAAAGTAGTGACTATGCGTTTGAAATTTAAAAATTGAAATTAAAGGAGAGAGGTGGGTTGTTTAATGACTTGTCAATCTTGGATTACTAATTAGGGAAAGAAATCATGGTAATTATCCATTTGAATTTCAAATAGCATGATTTGAGGAGCTTTCCTAATATAACTCTTTTCTTTTAGGAAAGAGATTTCAAATTCAAAATTATTTAAATTTGAAATATTTTGACTTTCCAAATTTATAAGAATTTAAATTAGGAAAGTAATGAATCCTTGGTTTTGAAATTTTGGAGCCTAGGGGAGGAGGGGGATGGTGGCCGACGGCTAGGAAGGTTGTGGGGTCGGTGGTTGGGTAGGGGAAGGGTTCAGCCAAAGGTTGGGAAAAGTGGAGGTCGGCAGCTTGGTGGAGGTGATTGGGCCGACAGGTGGGGAAGGACTGAGGGAAGAGGAATGGTATCAGAGCGAGATGAAGGTGGCGACTAGGGGAGATGGAGGAGAGGGAGTTGGTGGAGAAGTTAAACCACGAGCCCGAACGCTTCCTGCAGCTGATGGGTAATACGTTGCCCTCACCCTTCAAACCACGAGCCCGGACGCTTCCTGCGTCTTGTGGATAGTATGTTGCCCTCACCTAGGGACTTTAACTCTCATAAGAATTCTCAAAGCTCTTAAGAACAAAGTGCAAAATTTTCTCCTAATATCATCCATCATCTCAAAAAAAGGGGTTATAAATAGTCAAAATGCAATGATAAGACAAATGACAAAATTTTCCACATGGGTCACATAGGCCTACTCCCTCAAATGAGGGTAAAAATGGAAAAAAATGCATAAATAAATCAAAATACAAATAATAACTCAAAATAAAGTGGTACAATTATGACCGTCGATCTTCGGTTCCTTCTGTGATAAACTTTCACGGTCGAATGTCCTCATCAGAATACCCTTTTATCATAAATAAAGGAATCAATACAATGTACCAAAGTTCATCGAAATAAATATATTATGATAGTATTTTTATAAGGCATAATAATACTCTATGCTAATATTGTCGTTCAAGTTGGAATGCGTTTTTAATTAGATTTGATTTGTTATATAGTTTGAATGTTGAAATGGACTTGAAACCTTTGTAAATACATCTATTAGGGGTGTCAATAAATGACCGAACCCGACAATTTGACATAGACCAAATTCAAAAAATCATGATTCAGGTTGACCCGTTTAATAAACGGGTCATATTCGGGTTGGGTCATTTATTGACAATGGGTGCATGAAGATAAGAGAATTCTCTAATATGTAGATGCTTAGACTATTTGGACAATGTGGATAGAGCTTTTATTGTAGGAGAGATCATGATGTGTACACCTATAAAGGTGGAGATTGGTGGGTGTTAACTCTTTGGAAGGAAGAGGAATAAGTGAAAATGATGGTTTAAGAGCCGGAGAAAAGTAGGGAGAGGACTCGTGAAACTTAACATCCGTTGAAGTATATATGCATTTGATAGTTAAGTCATAATAGCAATAGCCTTTCTCAAAATGAGAATTCCTCGTAAGATACATCGAATGGCCATAAAATAGAACAGCCAAAAGCTCTAAGTGGAGAGGAGGTGACACACCACAGAATGTAGACAAGATGTAATTAATAAGCTAGCATGCAACATCGCTTCATGTCACGCCTTACCCATCAGACTTGGAAGAAAATCATGTAAACCTAGTAAGATAAGGTGAGTTGATAAAGTTAGAAACAATTCTAATAATATAAGTATTATTAAAAAAATCCACTAATACGATCATTAGAGCATCTAAATCTAATAATATATGCTAGTTTATCTACCAAAATATAAATAAAATTAAATGCTACAATAACTCATCCAAAGAATAAATCACTATTGAGACAATTATATAACTTCTATTTTCAATCACCTTCCATTGATATATCTTAAGCATGAGTCTAGAAACTCTTATCTAGATTATGCACTCTCAAAAAAAAAATCACAAATAATGTGTTTGTTTGTAAGAAACAAACTCGATAAGCAAAATGTACTAATTATAGTATAAATGATAGGCATATGACATAAATAGAATTTGTGAAAGAGGTAAAAATAACAATACATATCATTTCGTAATATTTATACACTATGTATAAAAGATAAGACTTTTAAATTTGAAAATCATTTAATGGTGCTTTTACAGACTTCTTGAACTGATTGAATTGTTCATAAAAATTCATATACAAACTGATGATCATTGAATGTTTTGACATACAAATCACAATGATGCCTCGTTGGTCCGATCAGCTTAATCTAAAAGGAATTTATAAAAAAATATATGCATTATACAAACAAGTCATTATATTTATTTGATATTATAATAAATGCTCCTTGATGAAGATTTTATAATCATTATGTTAATTTTGTGGACTTGGTTCATTGAAATGGTGTTGTTTAACCTTTTTTCTTAGTTACTACACATCACCTCATAATTGACGAGCATAAATCATGTGGAAAGTCAAGATTTAAATAATGTTGAGCAAATTATATTCGACAGCTCTATTTTAGATATATAGAGACATGAAGTCTATTGAATGATCCCATTTTCATAAAATGAGCTAAATTGGAACATCATAAACCCTAAAGCATTATTAATATAAGGAGCTTTAATTATAGATGAAAAGCAAACTTTTACTTTCTTATAAAAGGTATGAAATATAATAAAAGGTGAGAAAATACAAATAAGTATTCAAAACTTGTGTAAATATATTCATGTTACTCAAGAGTGATCTTCAACGAAAATAAAAAAAGTACTTAAATCATGGGTGGGTATGGACATGATTCAAGTCCCAAATACTAAATGAATTTATGTAAATGAGACCTGGCTAGGACTTGACATGAAATATGGTAAAAAAACACCTAATGAAGTTTGCCTGGATCATATGTATTAATTCAAATTCTGATAAAAAGCAGATAGGAGCAAACTCCCAAAGTCGTTGTTGTGGATGATGATCCATATGCCAATGCCATAAGTGATGGTGGAGAAGGTAAAAGGGGGCTCATGTGTCAAATACTCCACTTATATGAAAAAATTCCACCAATCATCTTCCTTGTATTGAGATTTTGAAGGGGAAAAAAAACAATGTGAGGGATAAATGTTGTAAAGTGGTAGAGTTTTAGTGAGATAGTGAATGAATAACAAATTGGCTGGAAATTTGGGAAGATATAAAATGCCTGGGAGGGATAGGGCTTTGAAAAGAAAGACAACCTTTCTAGAAATCAGGGTGGGAGTTCCATCAACAACAATAATATAGATGGTAGAGAAGACATGCTAAGGAATGAGAACAATCATCTAAAATATGTGGAGAAGCACCAGACTCTGAAGTTAAGGATGGGCTAGAAGAAAAAGTTGGTACAAATTTAAAGAACACGACAATGAGAGGTCGATATGGATGCTTGGATTTGCTGAACATGATGATCATAATCCTCCTGAGAAAGAGATTGTGGCTCCTACAGTGCCAACAATAGTTATAGAGGGTCCATAAGATAGCCAGATTTGGCATAACTCTCTAAAGGATATTATTACAATCGTGAGGACAGCAAAAGAAAAATATCCTTCCCCCCTGGCCACAATTATTATCAGTTCGACCATCACTAGTCATGACAACAACTACTATGCCCAAAAAACTTGCCATTGTGTATCATAGTAAGGGTAGACTGGTCTTTTGATCATTGCCAACAATAGTTATTGAATTAAAAGTCAATACTTGAGCGTTGGAGAGACATCCTAATGAGATCCAGTGGGCACATCATGCACACATTAATAGAGTGTGGTTGTTTGTTTAGATTTTTAACCTTGGATCAAGTGTTAAACCCTTTAGCTTAAGCTTGCTTTTCAATATTTTGATAATCTGAAAATATTTTGGTGTGAATTAACATTGTTAAATGAGGATAATATTGGTATGCTAGTGCATTTATTTTATGTAGAGGTTGAAAGAGCCCATGATGAGTAAAAAAGATTTTGAAGCAACATCATGACTTGAAGAAAACCTGTGGTCTAAGTAGTTTGATTCAAACTGAGTAAATCACTATCAAAACTTCAAGGTGCGAAATTGATTTATTTATTATGATGCTATAATGACCAACACACTCTCATAATGAGAGTTAAATTAATTAAATCAAATATTAAGGAAAAGTGGGAAAATTAGAACCGATTGTGTTGTATGATTTTTATCGTATTATATGATCAACCAATAACAAAACTTCTAGAACTGATCGAATTGTATGATCATTGATTGTATTGTATGATCATACTTCATTTCAAATTATTCAACAAATTTGTTAAGATCATATGATACTATAACTAATGGGAATTGATCCTAAGATAAGGAAGATCATGCTATATGATATCTTAATACATAAATATAATAATATCATCTATTTATTTTGATTGAGACTAGTTAAATTTCAAATTGATCATGTTGTATGATGTGCATCATATGCCGGGTTATTTAAAACAAATACTTAAAGTTAGTCTGCATTAATTTAGCTCACTCAAAATTTGAACTTGTCATATTGTATGATTAATGTCGTATTATAGAATATTTTTCCTACTTTAAAGGTAATTTGTCTTATGATTATCTTAATGGGTAGAATAAAATTGAATAGATCATGCAATATGATTAACCAAAAAAAAAAACAATTTTTTTTGTTTTATTAACAACCTTTAGGTTAATAATATATAGTGAAGGTAAATAATATAAATAGTGAGATAAAACCACCCTAAATGTAATACATCAGAAATAAAACTCTACCACCAGAGAAACCTTGGAGAGAGAGAGAAAGAGAGTTCAACACAAAGGTCATCTTTTTCCTTTCAGAACATTATGTTCATCATGTTTGTACACTTGATTGTTGAGAGACTTGCTTTATTTTTATTGAAAGAGATCTCAAAAGCAACTTTGTAAGAGCTTAATTACTTAGCAGGTTGTTCTAGGTTTAGTTTGCTTCTTACTTTTGTAGTAGTGTAAGTTTCTCCGCTGCTCCTGAATAAGAGAGATTTCTCGACCTATGATAATGAAGGAGGGGATAGTTGAATAAATCCTGGGATCACTTGAAGAGTTGACATAGGCTTGTTGTGGTTAAACTACAATAAATTTATTTGCCCATTTTTTCCTTTTGTTTTCTGCACTTCTAATTTTTCAATCTTGTACTTGATGTAATCTTTTAGTAGAATATTTTGCTATGCCTTGAATGATGGATTGTGTTCGATGAATAACTTATGAAAATCTTTTGAAAAAGAAAAGGTGGTGATATACTTTAAAAAAATGTATTGTTTGGGGAAAATTGAATCTTGAACCAAATATCTTGTTTTTGTCATTTTATTTTGAAAACAAAAACTAACTTTTTTTCTACAAATTAAAAAAGAATTTAGTTTGCCTTTTTTTTTTTTATAAACAAAACTAATTCAACCCTCCCCTTTCTTAGATTGTGCTAGAACATTCCGTAAGAAACACGCAAGTTTCATTAACAAGAGAACTAAGCAAATATACGGAGGAAGATGTTGCTTCCTTGAGTCCCCTCTCTCTAGCTTTCTAACTCCACAATCTTTCTCACTACTGTCTAATTCCTGAATTTCCTTGGGAGGCTATGAATGATCTCTTTAACATTCTAACTCAATAGGCTGGCAACAAGAAGGTTAACCCCTACTCCTCTAACATCCCTTTATATGAATAGGGAATGTCGGTTACAAAAATATGCATTTTGATAAGGACATTTTAAAGGAGGCATCGAAATCATGAGCTGTTAGTGCCTGGTTGTAGCTATTGCTCGACAAATAAAACATGGTCATGAAGTAACTGTACTCTTCGTAGTTTCTTCTTCTTAAGATATATTTTGAGTTTCCTCTTGGCAACGATGCTCTTAATTCTGGTTCTTCTCGACATTACCTTAGAATCTATTAGGAGTCACCTCATTTTTCTAATTCTTCTCAGCTTGCCATCTTGTCAATGATCTCTTGATCAAATATCCAATTTTTGGAGACGATTTAGGCTTGTGAATCAAGGTTCAAGAGAAAGGACAACTCGACTCCTCCGCCACCCCCTCCAGCTTGGAGGCCACTTTCCTTTGTTTATCAATTCTATTTGTGCTTTTTTTTTTCTGATAGTTGGAATTCTCTCTGCTGGTCCTCTCAGCATAGAAGCAGGTCATTGAGAGGAAGTATGCTTATTTGGCTTCTCACAATACCTTGTTGATGTACTCTCTGATAATAGCGAAGGGAACTCAACATTGTTGATCAAGTTGCATACATGAGTTTTTTTTTTAATCCATCTTAGTGGATAAGGATGTGAGTGAGGATTCCTCAAAAGTTGTTTGGATTCCATTGTTTAAACCACATGTTAGGATTCCTAATGTGTTATTGAAAATTGAATTATGATTTATTTACTGGACCACTTGTCCACAAAAGATATTAGTTTTCATTCTCTGCTTTCTCTTGAGAGTCCGAACATCTAGTCTGGCTCATTACAGCATTGTTCAAAAGGTGTTACAAAGTTGGCCTTGAACTCAATACCCTGGCTAGTCGTTCTATTCCATTAATTGTTTGAATAAGTTGCTGAGATATTGTTATCACTGGTGGAATTGTTGTATTTCAAGGGGCAAACTTTTATGAAGTTGAATGGAAAATTTGTCGAACTGTTATGAAGAAAACAAAGATATGAAACTTCTGGCATTTCTTCCATTAATCATTTTGACCATCTACGGTTTTAACACCTTTTTGTTATTTTGAATTTATGAACGATGCTTACAGGATTTGGTTTATCAATTAGTTGCCTTTGAGGAGTGTTTACTTTGTGCTATGTTTAAACAGGTTAATGATACAGTGGGTTCATTAGCTCTTGGTCATTATCATGATGAAGACGCAGTTGCAGCAGTAGTTATTGGAACAGGAACAAATGCCTGCTATGTGGAACGTACGGAGGCAATTATTAAGTCTCAAGGTCTCCTCACCAACTCTGGTGGCATGGTATGTTTATTGCTTTTTGATAGAAAATAGCCACCAACAATGCAAAAGTTTGCTGAATTTAAGAAAAATTCAGCCAAAAATAGCAGATTTTTATAAAAACTGTAGGAAATTTGAGAGAAAAATACTTGAAATTCACTAATAGAAGAAGAAAAATAGCACAAGATACATGATCTCTAATTCGAGAGGAAGAACCAACTCTCCAAATCTCTAGCCAAAGACTAGAGACCAGGCACCACACAAGAGATCCCAAATTCAGATTCAAATTTATGATGAAATTCTAACCCTCACAAGAAAAATTAATTAAAGCAAAGAGGACAAATACAAAATCTCTAACAGCCCCTAATTCAAATTTTCCCTCCCAAAGCAATGTTTAATTGAGTTGTGGGCCCCAACTACTTAGCCGCCCCCCTCTCTCCATAGTTCCGCCCCCCTTGGGCCATCCACCTGCTGACAAAAACTAGTCCACTAGGGGCCAGTTCAGCTGGTTCAACTGGCCTCCCTTGGGCCGGCCTAACACTCTTCCATCAGTAGTGCATTATGATTCGTCAAAATCCATATCTATTTGGCTTTTTTGCATTCTGGATTGGACGCTTTCATTAATGACGCTCTTTCTTTTTGTCATAATTAGGTTATTAACATGGAATGGGGAAGTTTTTGGTCATCTCATCTTCCGAGAACTTCATATGATATTTCCCTGGATGATGAGAGCCCGAATCAAAATGATCAGGCAAGCATTTTATACTAAGCTGCTTGTAATTTAACTGAGATACACTAAAGATGCATATTTTTTTCTTTATAGGGCTTCGAAAAAATGATTTCAGGAATGTATTTGGGAGACATAGTAAGAAGGGTGCTCCATAGGATAGCGCAAGAGTCGGATATTTTTGGAGATGCTGCTCGCTGTTTGGCTGTACCCTTCATGTTAAGGTACATATATACAATGCTGCAATGTTATTTCTTTCTCGTTCCTTCCCTTCTTTTTGAGTACTGTGTAATCCGTAAAATGCAGTTCCCAATTGAATTTAAAGCCTATATATGCTACTTTTTAAGTAGAGAGTAGTCGGATGGAAACCCTAATTTGCATGTCCTGTCAATATTGGCGCATGCATTTGATTGGAAAAGAAGGTTTGGGCAAATAAAATTACTCTCTTTATTAATTGTTCTTTTTCTGGCTGATTTTCTTTCTTTTATTCATTTTTTTTAAATCTAGGGAGCGTGACAATATGTAGTACATGTTGAACAGATTTGAATAGGACTCTAGTTGAAAGCTGTGATGTTCTGGTCTTGTTTCTTTTGGGTTTATATGTTTCGCTTTCTGACCCCACGTAGTGGGACAAAGGCTTGTTGTTGTTGTTGTATGTTTCGCTAAAGTTTTTTGGGAAAATAATATGTTTTTAGTATTCAAGTGTAGCAATTATTATTTTTGAACCAACGACTAGTTTGTTTATTATTCTCAATCTCTTCAATGTGGAAGATCGACCTAGTGATTTTGTGAACTTTATGATTTAACTGCATCTTTCATTTTGATTCACATTTTACCATCTTGTCATGCATCATATGCATGATATGTTTCTCGGATGGATGGACAAACTGTGTCCAAACAACTTTATTGATACTTAAAAATGTTATACTTTGCATGGAAAATATTTTCATTCTAGTACGTTTGTTTGAGCTATCAACTTTTTTGAACTTTTCATGTTCTCATAAAATAATTGGCATTAGCTTCAGTGATTTTAGGTCTAACTTTGATGATTATTAATTACTATAGTTGTTTTATATGATGTCCTTGTACATTATGTGGATGTCCAAGTCTATCATTGGCATTTTTGTTGAGCCATCGCATGTACTAGGTTATTGTTCACGTAAATAATAACTGTTGTTGCAGTTGCTATTGACAGTGAATGGTAACCTCATGAAGGGATCTAAGACTTTGACGTACATTGGGAAGATTGATTTTTTAATTTTTGCTCTTGTCAAATGTATGCTTGCTCTGAACTTGGTTTTAGTGGTGGATATGCCCGAAAGGCATTAGAATTCCATAAAATATGACATTTTCTATTATCATCACTTCTCATCTTCCTAAGACCCCTGGCTTTTTATTTTATTGATTCTTTCTGCTTTTAAAGCTATTTGGATGTACTTATTTAAACATTTGATTCAATGTTATGGTGACATTTGGTCTGCATTATCATCAATTCAAGTTTCTTGTTATGGAACTTAATGTACCATTCTTGAAGTTAGCTTACTGTTATGCTATTTAATGGCACAAGCTAAAACTGTAAATCATGTCCAACAGAAGCCTTAAACATATTTTTGTTGGGCTATGCCACCTGAGGTTTTGGCATTGCAGTACCTGCTATGCTGGAGAACTTGACTTTGCAAGTTTTTTAGTCAAGGTGGTTCACCATTGGCTATACCACTCATTAAAACAAGAAATAAGAACCGCCAATCTGAGTTGCATTTCATGCAATTTGTATTTTTTTAATTTTCTGCCTTGTCATCCTTGCTGCTACAACTCTTTTGCCACTGTTGTTGCCATACCTTCATACAATAACTTGTACCATTTTCCAATTCTCTTGATTTTTTTCCCATTCCATTTTGTTTCTTACAAATAACTAATATTTATTATTGTAATCATTATTTTCACCAGTTCTCATCGGGGATTGAAGTCCCCAAATTTTGTGGGACAACTCTATTCCTAGTTTTAGAGCTAGTCAACCCTGACATACTTTTCTCATAAAGGAGTAAAAGTTTTAGAACTAGTCAAGTCAGTTTCCTACTTCTCACCTAAAAATCAAGTTGGTTCATGATGTTTCATTTCTAGGCAGGATGATCATTCACTTAATTTTATTGTCTACTAGTTCTCATGATCTTCAGAGTCAAAATCACACATATGATTGTAATCTACAACATGAAAGCTATGTATTGGTCGAGTTTCCTCAATTTTTAAGTAAATATTCGCATTTATCAAGCATATGAGAAAATAGGATGATACATACAAGGCTACTCAAAAGTCTAATTTTATCTTAGTATTTCACCAATAGAAATCTACCCATATGCTTTAAATATCATAGTCAATTCTTGTATTTAATTATGAATTAGTTAAATTCATATACATATTGAAATAGCAATTATCCTCCTATGCAATTAATGCCGTATTTTGAGAAAAAGTTCAATGCATATGATTTCAAATGCTTTTCTCCCTAGGGGAAGAGTTTACATTCTCTTATTAAGTTCTTTTTACATCCACTTATTCATATAATCCATAAATTCAATATTACACCAATAATTGTAATTTATAACATAAGATTTATATTGTTGATTAATTTTCATGATAATTTAACCATTCATCAAGCATATCAAAAACTTAAGGATGTATTGGAGTTATCTAATAGCCTTTTAAAAATCTAGTTTTCCCTATTGTATTTCACCAATCAAAACCATTCAATACATGTAAAAGATCATGAACAAACCATGCATTTGATTCCAAGCCATTTAAACTCTCAACAATTTAAAATCATAATTATTTTCTCATGCAATTAGAGACATTTATTCTGAAATTTCTTTTGCATTTTATAGATGCCAATTGATCTTAATTTTGAGTGAAAGAATATTAGATGAATTTCGTCGTTTGAGGTTGGAGAAATTTTCTAATTTGAAGCTATATTTCCACATCTTCTTCAAAGTTCTCAACAGAATCATTATCATCATACTCAATATGATATTTTTCAATAAATTGGGACTTGAAGCCTCTTTTTGTGTACTTTTCAGAATCAGTACAATTTATTGGAGTTTTCTCCTCATAGTCATTGGAATCTGGGCAACATGCTTCCTTTGAAGGTGACTAAGGGTGTGCATTATTTGGATAAAGTTAAAAATTTGAAATGATATTGTTTGGTGTGTCTGGTTCAATTTGTTAAAGCAACAGTTCAATTACTAGTTGTAATTTTGACTCTCTATGATTTTTGGTTATTAATTTCAATTTTATTTTTTAAAATCATTCAAAGAAAAAAACTAAATTATAGTAATTTCTTCAAATGTTAAAGTTAATAAAAATCCATGAATTGTAAATAAGCAAGCAATAGAAAGATCAATGTGGATAGTTATTCTGCATGTTAAAATAATATTTTTTTGTAAATATTATTAGGTATTCTTCTTAATACATCTTATTTAAGCTTAAGATAGTTAGGTTCATTATTAAATTAATTATATTTTAGTTCATCCTCAACCAAATTCGAACTGAAATGACCAAATTAAAGTTAATTTAACTTAATTCAATTTTGAATATAAATTGATCGGTTCATTTTTTAAATTTTAGAACCGAACCGAATCCATTGTGGTTTGACTAATTCGTAAACCAAACCGATCAAACTAACCAAATGCACACCCCTAGTACTCATCATTTTCTGTAAAATGTGGGATATTACCCTCTTGAATGGGGCAAATTATTGCGTCCGGTCACCTGACATGCGAACATCCAATCCAGAGGCGCCGCCTCACTCGGATGCACTGGGCCCCCAGTATTTTTGAGTGACGTGGCGTGTTTTTATTGGTGTCCGGACGAATCCGGACACTGGACACAATAATTTGCCCTTGAATGGAAGCGACAAATATAGAAGAGATGATATGGGATAATCTTCTATCATTTCATTAATATTGAAAATTTTGTTTAAACTAGTACACTTGGTACAAAGAAGTAATCATAGTAAGAAATGAGAGCTTTATGTTTCTCTCGACATCTTATATAATTTCAACTTCTTTTACAATATTTTGGGCTTTACTTTAATTTTCTTTGATTCTTTTGGAGGTTGGGCCAATTTGAGGGGCTTGCCATCCACTTGAGGTTGAGGATCTTAGGAGCTTCCATCGAAGCCATTGGCTTTGTGTTTTCTATGTTAGGATTAGCCCAAACTTGTAGCGGGGAAACTGGCACTGCCTAATTTATTTCTAGGACTTCCGAGCAGACGATTTGCCTATCATTCCCTGATTCCAATGAAACTGCCAGAAGGCATGAACTTCCTTGAAGATATATATATATATATATATATAGTTGTGTACATGCTTCTCCTCCGACTATGTTTGTATATAATTTGAATTAGATATTGTAGATAGTAATAGCCCTTCTTATGTGGATGAGTGGAATGACAAAGAAATATGAATAACAATAGAGTAAAAGAATATTAGGAGACCAAGAAATATACTAGAAGAGAAGGTAAGAAGTAGAAAGTAAAGGAGGACAAATAGGCAGAAATTAAAGATGCAGCAGCATTAGTTGTACTTTCAACCTTTTTATGAGTGAAGTATTTATTACAATGTCTAAGTCACAATTCTTCAAGATGTAGATAGGCGCCTATTATTCCATTTTTGCAATCCATTTGACCGAAAACTTTTTCTTTTGCTGTATTTGATCCAAGGATTTGTTCGCACATGAAGTAAGCAGCACTAGCAGTTTAACTTTTTCTTTCTTTTACTGATTCATGGTTCACACTCACCATTGCAACTGCTGAAATGATCTAAAAACCATTATAAGAGCGTCCTGACCAACATGTATTATTGCCATCTCTGATTTCAACTGTTCGGCAATGCAGGACACCGCTCATGGCAGCCATGCACGATGATGCCTCTCCAGACTTGCGAGAGGTTGCAAGAATTCTACGAGAAAATCTCGAGGTAAATTCTCTCCTCTCCAAAATAAAACTCCACTTAGGGGTGTATATGAGTCGAGTCAAGTAGACTTTAAGCCCTTATTGAGCTCGGCTCGTCAGTTGGAAAGCGAGCTCGAGCTTATCTCACTGTAAACGAGCTCGAGCAGGCTCGCGATCCCATAAACGAGTCGAGCTCGAGCTAGTTCGTGAGCCGGTTCGGCTCACTTACACCCCTTAACTCCACTATGTATTTCATGAACTTTCATTTCTTATATCAACTCAGCATATTCTGTTTCCACAGATTCAAGATATTCCTTTGAGGGCAAGGAGAATAGTTGTAAGTGTATGTGATATTGTCACAAGGAGAGCTGCTAGGCTAGCTGCAGCAGGTATTGTGGGTATATTGAAGAAAATAGGAAGAGATGGGAGTGATGGAGTTTCAACTGGAAGAACAGAAGGCAAGTCCAGAAGAACTGTGATTGCCATGGAGGGAGGGCTTTATGTTAGCTATGGATTGTTCAGGGAATACTTGAATGAAGCTGTAGTGGAAATTTTGGGAGAAGAAATTGCACAAAATGTTGTACTAAGAACATGTGAGGATGGATCAGGAATTGGTGCTGCTCTACTTGCTGCCTCTCTTTCATCAAATCAATGAAGATTCCTCTGTACATAGATATATTCATGTGCAAATGTAAAAAAGGAAAAAAAAAAAAAGAAGATTCAAATCTGTTCATATAGTGACCGTTATCTCTTATTTGCTTGTATTATTTCATTGTTTTCGCAGAAGATTATTGCCCTTTGTTTTAAGTGAGGCAGCTGGCCAGTTTCATTTGAAAAAAGGAAAAGGGGGAACAAATTGTAAGTCTAAATTAGACGATTGATTCCCTGACGCTTAAATTGAGGATAAGAATCTTCTGCACCAATATTGTATCTGAAGTTGTGGAGGTTAGCTCAGTTTTTCATAGTTTTGGACATCCATTATTCAGCTAATGTATTCTTTATTATTATTATTATTCAATCTCTCGCACTCTCTTCTGCTTTTCATGCTTTATGAAGAACTCGTCATCGTCATAAGCAGTTTTATCCCAATTATTTGGGAGTTTGATTTATGTATTTTAACTTTCAATTCAATTATATTGAGTTTTATTTTGATGTTTTTTTTTTATAAATTATTTCAATAATATTTGTTCATGTTCTCTTAGATATGTTTGTTGGTAGTTTGGCATTATTTTTTTTCTATTTAATCAATGTAAAGTAAAAGGATGATGTTGGTAGCCGACTGATGATGATCTGTGGTGGTTGGAGATAGGCGGTGGTGGCGCTCGGTGGTGGTAGAAGCTGTTAGTTGTCACATTGATTCGGGCAATGATGGCGGCCCAGTGGCTGTTAGTGATGGTAGATGACAGGTCAATGTTCGTGTCAGGCGGTGACAATGCAGTTGGCTTATAATGACAAAGAAATTCGGCAAAATTAGGTGAGATTAAAATGCATAAAAAACTAACGATTTATTATAAAGAAGCTCATTGGAATTTTACAATTGGTTTTTTTTTTTTTTTTGCATGCCAATCAACAAAATTTTAATTTTTCCTGAAAAAAAAGGAATGCTTGGCAAATCAAACTTTTGTTTTAAGGATAAATTATTCTGTAAGTTCAAACGGGAAGAATCATCAGAACCGTGAGTATATACATTGTATACACACTTATTGTAAATTTATAAATTATGTACACATAATGTGTACAAAAATTTGATACACTGTCGACAAATATGTACACTCACATGACCGGACACTTCTTTTAATCCGAACTCTGCATAAAATAATTTTTCGTGCTTAAGAGATGTTATTGAACATCCTTTTAAAATAATCTTTTTTCTGTCGCAAAATTTCCTTATATGGTTATTGATTATTTTTATTGCTAAGTATTTTGATTCATAAGTTATTATCAGTTAAATTATAAGTTTAAAAATTTACCTCTAAGTCTTAGTAATCCTCATGCAACATAAAGTTTTCTGGATAATTTTTCATTTTTTTGATAATATGTTTTAATTACATGTTATATTTTCATTGATAACTTTAGTCTTTCAATATATTTCAATCTAGTACATCATGAATTGTCATCTGCATATCGGAGCATGAATTTAACACATCAAAAATCATTCTAAAATTAGTTCTTCTTTTGACTCTGATGAAGCTTAAATTGATCAAAGTTAGTGAGTCTTATTTAAGAAAATATTAAATAACTCACTTATAATCATCAATAATGGCCTTTGAAGATTGAATAATTATAACATGCATTATACTCTTTTGAATGTTAGATGTGATGTGTGCTCAAGGGTATAAGTGAGTTGAGCTAGCTCATAAGCCAACTCAAATTCGACTCGTTCATGAGCTCATGATTCGGACTTACTGAGCAACGTGTTCAAGCTCGAGTCAATACTCAAACTCGGATATTAAATAAGCTCAAGCTCAGTCTAGCTCGGCTCGCAGTCACTACCTAAATATTAGCCACCAAACTAACCCAACCTCTCTATTTAGCCATAAAATATCCTTAAAGAATCCCATTAGCCTTGACAACCTCATCTTTTTTTTCTCCAAATTATCAAGGAGCATCCAACATGCCATCACTTCTAAATATTCTGCAATAAGCTTCCATCATATTCAACAGAGCTAAAGGGCTCCAAGGTGTGCAAAATCCATGGAGCCTGAAGGCACTACTTGGAGGAGCAACTACTTCAACTAGTTGGCATCTATAAAACAAGACTTGCTCCTTCAAAGATAGGTTTAGTATCTTCTAGCAAAGTTAACAGTTTCAAAGATATCTAAGATTTTGTTTGGGAAGTTTTTCTCACTGCTTCTTAAAGCAGTTTTTTAGTAAAAATTTTTACTTTAAGTAGTAAGAAAATTGTCCAAAATAAAACCCAAGTATACATCAACTTTTTGAAAGTGAAGTCTCAACCGTTGCCAGTTTCAAATGAACCAGACTCAATTGATTTACCTAATGGTTAGAAAGTGCTCCATCAAAAAACCCTTTTAGAACACTAAATGCAAATCAGATAGCCTGCCGGGCAATTCACTTATTTGGGTTAAAAGTCAAAGTTAGAAATGCATCATTTATTTGAAGTAGGGGTGTCAATTTTAAGTCACGGGTCGTATTTAGATTGAAGTCGAAATTGACCCGACACTATTGGGGCCAACCCGAACCCCATCCATTTTTGCAAACGGGTTGATATTTCAGACCCGAACATGCCCACTTTGGGTTCAAGTCACTCGGGATGCAACACGGCAACGCCGACAGTGTCGTCGCTTGAGACGCGACGCAGTAGCTGGTCGACCGAGGGACGCGACACGACAGCAGCGGGCAGGCGGGTCAACGCGACAGGCATATTGACGTGGGCGACAGGCATATTGACGTGGACGACAGACACGATGTCGGATAGCAGGGATGCAATGCGCTAAACTGGATTGGCTCGGGACGTGGTGTGGGTAGCTCTAGTCAGGTTCGATCAGAGCGGACAGAACGGGTCATTCTCGGATTTTCGGGTCAACTCGAACCCAACCCAATTGGGTCAACACAAACCCAAAATTTTCGTGTCGAATTTGAGTCGATTTTCGTGTCTTGTCAAATATTGACATCCCTAATTTGAAGTCCAATGGCATAAAAACCACTCCATTTTTATCCGTTCACCGCTATTAAGCTGCAATTTTAGCTGAACGTTGCGCTGACCTCCCAGCTTTCCTGCTTTTAGCTGAATGCCTGTGAAGATTTATTAGCAAAAAGTTGGAGAAGTAATCGATAGGCTTATGGTATTGTAGTAGCAATCCATTAGCCATTATTTCACCTTATTATTAGATTGTTATATAGCTTATCACCATTGGGAGCTCACTGCAAGTGTTAGCTACACCTCTCTAGGCCTTTTTTATAGCCAGGCATTACTCTTTTTTGTTTTAACATATATTCATACTACTCATATTATTCCAAAAGATAGGAATCTCATTCACTGACCGAGTCAATCAACTTAAGCACATATTTCGTATTACTTTCCTTGCTATTATATCACAATAGATCATAAATAATCAATAACAAATGTTACAAAAAGATTACAACTTGAAGTTATAGGAAATAAAAACGATGAACTACATGGCATAATACATATAGCCAAAACATTAAAACTATGAAGTAAATTCCAAAGAAACAGTATTTAAAAACTCATTAAGGCTTCGGCTTTCTTTCTGCTTTTTGAAGTAGCTTTTTAGTACAAAATTTTTTAATTTTGTATTAAAAAGCTGCTTCAAGAAGCATAAAGAAAGTCATCCCAAATGAAGCCTAAGACTAAACAAATATATAGAATTATGTGAATGTAGACATCCAAAGTGGCAGAAGGAAAGCACAAACACCCAAAAAGATATGATCGAAGAAGTCACAATTATACATCCATTCAAATAAAATCAAAATCAAGTAGTATTATATTTGTAACCTGCTTCCAAATAACTAGCAGAAACCCAAAAAGTTTATAAGATGAATAAGCAACAGTATAAAGTTAGGAATAATAAAACTGCTTGATATAATGAGGCACACCATCCCTAATCTTCCATCTCTTACTTTTCAATCTAATTGCAAAATGAACTTTATCAATAATAACATTATTATTTGCATTCCTAAAAATACGATTATTTCTTTCTTGCCAAATATAGCAAGCAATAATTGCAAGGCTAAAAGAAAAAACTTTTTAGAGATTTTGAAACTACTAGAGTAGAGTCAAAATAATTTAAAATTGGGTGAAGTGAGCCACCCAAATGAAAGAAATTCCCATTAAAAATGCAGTTTTTGAGCAATAGAGGAGAAACTTCATAGTCAAAGAATCGGTGTGTGCGACTTTCATTGAAATTCATACATAAAGTACGGGTTGGATTCACCGCCATACCCTTCTCAAAAGAGCATCATCAGTTTTAAGCTCGCCTATCATAATTTTCCAAGCTAAGAATGCATAATTAATGGAATAACCTTTGAACCAAATATAATTATACCATCCAACATTTGGAGTATTCTCATAAAGCTGCTTATTGTAGAAAGAATTTCCCCTGAGCCAATGATAAGATATGGAGTATTATGAACATTTATACTAAGAATTTGCTCCGAAATGTTATTATCATCACAGAACTGGAGAGACCAATGGAGGTCAGTTATAAATTCAGAAATCCTAGCCACGAGACTACAATAAAAGCAGTCTAAGATATGGGGGCCAAAATTTTCAATGAGGGAAACACCATTAAAGCCTGGGTCATAATAAAAGTAGAGCTGACAACCATTACCAACGCTAACTCCATCATATTCCCCAATTTGTAAGCATAGTTGTACAAATGCTTCCAAAAAATTAAAGAGTTGCTAGTCGGCTCGCGAGCCGGCTCGAGCTTATTTACAGAAGGACAAGCTCGAGCTTGAGCTCGCTTTTCGACTAACGAGCCGAGCTCGATAAGGCCTAAACTAGACTTGTTTGCACCCCTAGCCTTGACAAGCATCCAACCCCTTCCCTTCATAGCTAATACTGGTCTTTACATCACAAACCCTAAAAAGCCCCCTTTTCCAATCCTCATCTTCTATGTTGTTCATCACTGCCCCACCTTCTCTGCAATTCTCCATATATATATATATATATTCTCACACTTATAACCAAATTTATCTCAAGTCATACCTTATTACATAAAGCTAACACTCTGCTTTTACCCAAGTTCTTTACAACCTCATCATTTTTTTCTCCAAATTATCAAGGAGCATCCAAAATGACATCACTTCTAAAGATTCTGCAACAAGCTTCCATCATATTCAACAGAGCTAAGGGCTCCAAGGAGTGCAAAATCCATGGAGCCTGAAGACACAACTTGGAGGAGCAACTACTTCAATTACTCGGCATCTTTAACACAAGACTTGCTCCTTCAAAGATAGGTTTAGTATCTTCTAGCAAAGTAACACTTTGAAAGATATCTAAGTATATATCAACTTTTTTGCAAGTGAAGTCCCAACCTTTGCCAGTTTCAAACGAACCAGACGCAATTGATTTACCTAATGGTTAGAACATAGAATGTACTCCATCAAAAAAAGCCTTGTAGACCACTAAATGCAAATCAGATAGCCTGCACACAACTCTCCTTGGCCTATTGGTTGAGAGCTTAAGCTTCCAACTAAGAGGTCCAAGGTTCGAGTCTTTGTGTATGCGTTGTGTGCGTGAGTTTGCCTTAAATGGCCTAAATGTCCCAAAAAAAAAAAGATGGGCATTCATAAACACAAACAAAATCTTAGAAATGCATCATTAAATTGAAGTAGGGGTATCAATTTCGGGTTATGGGTCGGGTTCGGGTCGAATCCGGAACTGACCCGATACTATTCGGGTCAACCTGAACCTGAACCATTTTTGCAAACAGACAAATTTTCGGACCCGAACATGTCCCGCTTTGGGTTTGAGTCACTCGAGATGCAACACAACAATGCCGACAAAGCCGTCACTTTGGACGTGACGCGGCAGCGGGGTCTACGGAGGGACGCGACATGGCAGCAACAGGTAGGCGGTCAGCGCGACAGACAGACTGATCCGGACGGCAACGCGACGCCAGACAGCGGGGACGCGACGCGCTAAATTGGATTGGCTCGGGACGCGATGTGCTAAACTGGATTGGCTCGGGACGCAGCCTGGGCAGCTCCAGTCGGGCTCAATCAACACAGGCAGCACGGGTCATTCTCTGGTTTCCGGGTCAACTCGAGCCCGACCCAATTTTTAAAAAGGGTTGAAAATCCTAACATGAACTCAACCTGATTCAGGTCAACCCAAATATGAAATTTCCGTGTCAAGTTCATGTCGGATTTTCGTATTGTGTCAAATATTAACAAACCTAATTTGAAGTCCAATGGCATAAAAACCACTCCATTTTTATCCGTTCACCGCTATTAAGCTGCAATTTTTGCTGAACGTTGCGCTTACCTCCCAGCTTTCCTGTTTTTAGCTGAATGCCTGTGAAGATTTATCAGCAAAAAGTTGGAGAAGTAATCGATAGGCTTATGGTATTGTAGTAGCAATCCATTAGCCATTATTTCACCATATTATTAGATTGTTATATAGTTTATCACCATTGGAAGCTCACTGCAAGTGTTAGCTACACCTCTCTAGGCCATTTTATAGCCAGGCATTACTCTTTTTTATTTTAACATATATTCATATTATTCCAGAAGATATGAATCTCATTTACTTACAATCAACTTAAGCACATAATTCGTATTACTTCCCTTGCTATTATATCACAATAGACAATAAATAATCAATAGCAAATGTCACATAAATTTGTGAGTTTTTTTGGGTTGCATATACAAGCAAAAAGCACCAGTAATAAAAACTAGGGATGAACAATACTATACTGACATAATGAGGTATATCATATTATTCCTGAAAAAACAATTATTTTTTTCTTGCCAAATATAGTAAGTAGTAATGTGCACGGCTAAAAGAAAAAACTTTTTAGTGATTTTGCAACTACTGGAAGTCGGAATAATTTAGAATTTGGTGAAGTAGAGCCACCCAAATGAAAGAAATTCCCATTAAGAATACAGTTTTTGAGCAATAGAGAAGAAACTTCAAAGTCAAAGAATAGGTGTGTGTTCATTGAAATTCAAACATAAAGTATGCATAGAGCACAAGTTGGATTCCCCAACATACCCTTCTCAAAAGAGCATCAACAATTTTAAGCCCACCTATCATAATTTTCCAAGCCAATAATGCATAATTAATGAAATAACCTTTGATCCTGATGTAATTATGCCATCCAACATTTAGATAACCCTCATAAAGTTTGGGGTAAAACTGCTTATTGTAGAAAGTATTTTCCCCGAGCCAATGCCAAGAGATGGGGTATTCTGAACATTTATACTAAGAATTTGTTGCAAGATGTCATTGTTATCACAGAATGGGAGAGATCAATGGAGGTCAGTTATAAAGTCAAAAACCCTAGCCACGGGACTACCTAAAATTTTCAACGAGAGAAACACCGTTAAACCATAGGTCATAAAAAAAGGAGAGCTAAAAACCATCACCAACCTTAAATTCCATCATATTACCCAATTTGTAAGCATAGTTGTGCAAATGTTTCCAAAAAAATTGAAGAGTTGCTAGCCGGCTTAAGCCAAATAGGACCGTAGACTTTATTGCACCAATCATAAGGGGGAAGAAGTGTTCCAAATGAACTTAGCTTTAGCAAAAGTGTGAGGATTGTCAACAGATAGAAGCCCCAAACCCCCCTTATCCCTAGGAAGGGAAGTAGACTTAAAAGAGAGAGTTTGAATCTTGTTGATGATTTTATTCCCATGTAAAAAATTATCAATTAATTTATTCCTTAGGCCCTTTGGAAGAGTAATCGATCTTAACCAGTAATAGAGATAGTTCCAAATAGTAGAGCGGACCAAATAAAATCTACTAGAAAAAAAAAGCAGCTTTTGCTTAAGCCACCAAGAGAGTTTATCCATAATTGTAGAACATCTAGCGAGATTGAGTCTCGCACGTGATAAAGGGATCCCCAAATAATCTCAAGAAAGAGATTTGAGATTGAATCCCAAAATATTACTAAATTGATCCTGCAAGTCAGAATTGATAGATTTTGAAAAGCAAATAACATTTGTATTGAGATTAGCAGAAAGGCCGGTAGAGTTTTTAAAAGAGGTCAAGATGGCGTCCAAATGAAGCATACTGGAGATATTGGCATGCCCTATTTCGTGAATTGCAGGAGCAAGAAGTGTTCGAGCAGTAAAAAAAAAGTGTTAGAGCAGTAAGACTCCATTAATCTAGAAAAGGTATCCATGACAAAAACAAATAGAAATAGGGATAGAAAGAAACCCTGTCTCAAACCTTTTTTGGACTTGAAGAACCCATTCAGCTCACCATTAATAATCACATATACAATAAATTTCTTAGAAAAAAAGTCTGCAAAAGGATCAGTAATTAAAAAGCAGCATCCTTAACAAAGTTCTAACAAAAACATTTGTGCCAGAAAAAGCTTTCTGACTTTTTAAATAAATAGAAATGGAAATTATAAGATTTGGTATTGACAATTCAACACATTCTGACTACTATTTACTCTTCTTTTTCCTCCCATCTATCTTAAAAGATGCAGATCTTTTACTGGTTTTCTTCTGCAGCTTCTGCTTTGTTGCTCTTTTCATTGGTTTTATCTTTACTGGAAGCTTATGATTCTTTTCCAATTTGTTGCTGAGCTTGGGAATGGTATGTACTGGCTCCAAATCTTGGTTTTCATTAACAAGTTCGCTTGTAGTCACTGTGATAGTTGTATTGTTATTTTCATATATTCTCGTTTCTGTAGGAAAATCATAGTTTTTAAGATATGAGTGAAACAATAACGAGATATGAAGCTTGATTAAGCTTACAGAGAACAAACTAATCATGAATGGAGAAGATGTATTTCAAATGGTTTTGCATACCTGACACAGATGCAATTGTAGTTGGTCCATCTTCTTTAGCATCACTATCTACATCTTGTTCCAAGTCTGAGTCAAGCTCCTTAAGCTGACCTTTTAATGCTAATTCTTTCGCTTCTTTCATCTTTATTGTTTGTGTAATAGAAAATTTAATTTATTAGTATAACCAAAAGTAAAAAGACATCATAATTGGAAGAAGCGATGAGGGGCATCACTACAATTAAAATGACATGAAATTTGGACTTTAGATATAATAGAAAACTGAAACCACTTTATCTAACAATTTAAGATCAAAGAGAGTTGATCGGATAGATGGAGAGAGATGCATTTAGATTCGAGAGAAAGTTTAACGCTGCATTGAAGTGACAAACAATTAGTAGTATACCATTTGACTGCCAAAAAATTAGATGAAAGTATTAAGATGATTATCATAATATCTGTTACATGCTCTCTGCTACAGATGAAATGTGAGGTTAAGATAGTAGTCCATTTTTAGTCATGTAAATCACCACCAACGCCATTACTATCCGAGATCACAATATGCCTTTTACTAATTATTCTTGTTAGGTTTATAAGTCCATTATCAGTCATACTCTTAAAGATCTACATTTACTGTTAATTTTAATTAGATGATTTCAATAAAGAACTGCCAACAAAATTAGCTGTACAGTACCAATATTACTGCCAACAAAACGTCATTAATAAATTTTTATAAACAAATATAATTCCTTAATCTGGGCCTAAACAAGTGTCCTTCTATTATCCTATCTTAAATTTTGGATGATTAGCATCCGGATCGAGAGAAAGCTCACCAAAACACTTAATCCCATCTTAAATCACCCTTTCCTCTAACATTAGTTCGTTGAAGCAACTCATCCAATATACGTCCATACACCTTCTTATCATTGTTTTTGCTATCTTTTTTAAGGAAATATCATGTTTAACACAGGAATTTAAACTGTTTTTATGTCAAGTGACACCACCATTTTACCTAACAAATAGAAACAGGGAATAAATACAAGGATGATAAAAATTTGAGCCATAAAAAATATTAAATTATGTCACAAAAGAATAGGAAAAAAATTATTGTTTTATAACTTTTGCATGTCCATTGTAAATTTTAAAAATTAACTTCTTGTTTGCACTTGATGCAATGTTGCTTTTTTTATGCATTATGTCATATTACCATTAATCGTTGATAAATCGTGGTACTTGTAGTGAGAAACATGATTACATCTTTGGTGATAGTTGATAAAGTATGGCACTTGTAGTGGGAAACACAATTACATCACTGGTGAGAATAAGTATGAAGCATGCATTCAAAATGTAGCACCTTGATATCCAAGCTACCAATTAAATGCTAAGGCTGTAAAGTATTACACCTTCATATCTTCAATTCTAATTCAAAACCAAAGAAACTTTGTTTTCAAAGGTGTGTGATAGGAAACATTCCAAGAGAAAGTGAATTGTATTTGCTGAATTTGAATTTCAGCAAGGCCCAAATCAGAAATTAAGAGGAATTTTGGTGGAAAAAACTAGTGAGAAAAGATTTTTATTGATAATAGATGAAAGAAAATATCAAAATACAACAGATCCTCAATTGGAAAGGAGGATATGGCTCTCCCAAATCTCTAGACGTCGCTAGAGCCCAAACAAAGCCAAAGCACCCACCAAATTTCAGAAAACACAAGATAAAAACTTAACCCTAGGTTAAATAATATATTTAAAGCATACAAAATATAGTTAATGTCAAAAACAGCCCCACAATTTGAAATTTTCCTCCAAATTTCTCATTAATCACTCCTTAATATGGATGTTGGGCCCACCCCCAAAAGGGGCAGCAATGACTGGGGCGGAACTTCTGTTCCGCCGCTGGTAGACAAAGCTCGGTCCAGGCTGGACCAGCCTATCAGTGTGTTGGACCCACTCACAGCTTTGATAAATCTTAAATCACATAATGTTTGTTTGCTTTACTAACATCATAGGATAGCCTATGTCAATTTAGCCAAAGATGTTATTTAAATATTGGGCAAATTGATAAGCATCTAGATAAAAAATGTCTTCATGTTCATCATATACTAAAATGATTAATTTAGCACAACCAAAACTCCCATGTCCCTAAAAAAAAAGTGGCAGGTTCATTTATATTCACATATATGAAGGACAACGACATTCAAATAACATTCAATAACCAGAACTTTTCTTGGAAACCTCCAATTCCATAACTATCATATATAAAACCAAGGTATTAAATCTCAATTCTAATTTCAATTTCGGTCCCATCGTGAAACTCTGGATCTTGGTAGTTTTGATAGTTTCATTGGTTTCGTGAATCGTTTTCATTTCTAGTTTTGGTTATTTTTATTATAGATATAGCAAGAAAATTCATTTAAGATATATTATTTTAAATATGGAAATAAATCTTAGATATTTTATTAATTTAAAAAAAAAAAGGTATGAGGCTACTTAAACACAAATGGGAATGATGCAATTGCAAATAATAATGGCACAAAAAATATTTACAAATCAAATTGAAAACAAAAGTCAAGATAATATTTAGTTAAATGTCAGAAGACAAACTCAACCTGTGTCTCTACCATGAGAACCAGAGAATATACCGCTTGAATTAAAGATTTTTGGTAAAGTATATTTAAGATATTGAATAAAGAGGATTATCTACTTGGGAGTTTGATATACAGCACACATGATTTTTAATACAACATTAGTGATGAAAGATTAAATAGAACTTTACTAATCACTTGAGAGTTTTAGTGAAGTCTCAATAAAAATCTACGAGTAATGGGCAAAAGTACTAAGTTTTGATCAAAACACCATAAACCAAAAATATTAATGATTTTTTCTAGATGTCGATAGAAATTGATCCAAAAACAAACCAAAATCACTTAAACATGAAAGCATGATATAAACAGTAACCGTTCTAAGAAAACCACACAAAATATCAACAATGCTATTTTCCTAATACTCTAAATCTAACAAAATTCCCTTTCCAACTTCATATCCTGGTTCAAACTCTATAAGCATAGTTGGTATCTATATGGGAAAACCTACTACAATCTTATAAAGCTTTTAACAGTCACACTCAATTTAATGGAATTACTAATCTTAAATGAAATATTCTACAATTTCACATGCTACGAGTTATTTCCCGGATTTCCCTATCATTAATAACAAATAACTATTGGATGACAGTAATTTGAAGCAACACTTGTGAGGATTGCTATTAAAACCAAGGGATCTTTTGACTATAATCATGCATAATATTGAATGTTATTTGTTCTTGTCATCAAATTGAACTAAAATAATTTTCTATTTTCAAGGTAACAAATTAAAACAATTATAATGAAACATAACCTTACATTTAAGCTTTTGAAATCCTGGACAATTATTTTTTTATTAGAAAAGCTAAAAGAGATCATGCTTATGTGACTCCATATGGACGCCAATATAAGAAACACTTTGGATTCAAGTTCCCTAGAGGGCCTAGACAACCTTGAGGGAGCTATCTCAGATATATTTAGTTACAACGAGATCGCTATGAAGAAAAGGGGAAGGAAAGCATGCACCAAGACAAAAGAAGAAAAAAAGAACTCTTGTAGCATGGTATACACTATCAATAGCTCAAAGATTTCTCAATTTCATCTGGATCATTCTGTAGTTTGAAATTAAGTGGAACTGCAACTAAGATGAGCTTTTAGAACCAATTCATATACTGTTCAATTTTTCAATATAATTACCTAGAGTTTCAGTAAGAGTGTTCAAACAAACTCAAAAACTCATATAATTTAGAGCTACCTTTCGAAGAGAACTCATTATTAGCACCATCACACAAAATACATAGAAAAACTTGTTCAGCACAGCTTTGGTTAAAATTTTTGTTAGTTGTAGAGCAACCATCCATGGTATGCAAGACTGTAAGGGGCGGGCAAACCTTCTTACGGGCCATAATACGCATTTGCCTTTCCTTCTCATGCAATTGTTTCTTAGCTTCCTTTCTCCGCTTATCCTTTCTCTTATGGAAACCAGTAACAAAGTCCCTGTCAACAAAAAGCAGATCTTAGAATTTCAACAGGTGCAGAAAAAACATGAATCTTCGCACAACATATAAGCTACATCACCACCATTCTACCTCAAACTATTGCAATTCACAGTATAGATTATGCAAATCTAAAGAGTGCGTTTAAGCTGCATAACTTCTCATGTCATAAACACTTGGGCTTTACATAACTTGAAAAGTGTAATAACTCAGCTTCCAGCCATAAAGAAGGCACCTTTAAGTACTTAACTAAGAAATAAATACGGCTAACCACAGGAAAACATACAAAATAATTCGAATACCAGTATTTTGACATAAAAAATAACTCAAAAAACAAAAAAAGGAATATTTTTTTTTTAATGTGAAACCTGGGGAGCGGGGGAGGAACCTTAGGTTTTTCTCGTCGAATGCGATGGAAAGGCCTCTGTTTCGGAGAGATTTCTTATTTATATGGCGAGGAACCATCACCGTGGGCTTCTGCCCCACCACGACGCCTTCATCGAACTCCTGCTCGTCATCCATCCTCGTCCGGCCAGCGTCGCCGCTCCGACGCCGTAGATTTAAGTCGGAATATCAGCACGGCGAAAATTAGGAATACGAACTCCGCCGCCCAACACTTAACTGGTTAACAAGATGCAAGCATTCATTATTTATTTATTTTAAATTTTATAGCAAATACATCTTTGAAAACTTTATATTTGCAGATATAAATACCACATATAATATCGAAAAACTATATTAATTTTAACATATATTTAAAATTTTCAAAATTCATCTTAATAAAAAATTCATGGTATAATTTTTAAGTAATCTTTTTTTTTTTTTTACTAAATCAACATAAAAAAATTAAAAATTAACCTAATATTTTGGAGCATGATCAGAGCATATTAGAGGGCACGATCACTCCTATTTTTAATTATTTAATTCAATATTTTGTTAGTAGATTTTAAGTGCTAAATTTAGGAAAATGAGTTATCTTATTAAAGTTGCATTTATGAATGCTTTCTAAATCAACTTTTTAGTATACAAATTTGTTGAACTAACAATTTTTTGTGCTATAAAGCAATAAAAAAGTTATTGAAAGTTCGAATATGTTGGTAGATCTAATACAATTGTTTCAATGCTAACTAAGATGGAGGTGAATTGATGATTTAAAAAATTTTGTAATTTAGAAAGCTGATTTAGATATTCTGCACAATAAATAATTTTCTCAAAATATTTTTCCAACCACTAAATTTTAAACGTGCAGAAAATAAAAATGCAATAAAAAGTAAAAATAGAATAACATAGAATTTTATAGTCGTTCGATCCAACTAGACATATGTTCACTCCCTCTTCATATATTACACTATATCAAAGTGACTATCATTTTGCTCCCACAGCAAGACAGAGAAGCCCTTATAATAACCTCTCTTCCACCAACCCAAGTGCGTCAAAGTACAGTCATCCTTTCACACACTCTTGGTGATAGCAGAGTACCAACATCCTTTCTCACCCTCCTGATAAAGGCAGAGTACCAGCGTCCTTTCTCACCCTCCTCGTGATGGCAAAGTTTTGGCGTCCTTCCTCATCCTCATGGTGATGGCTGAGTATCGACGTCCTTTCTCACCCTCCTGGTGATGGCAGAGTATTGGATATTTTTCAAAGATCTTCTCTCAAGAGTTTTCAAATAAGTAGGGCAGTGATTTATAGAACTTAGAAATAGATCATCACATTCGGGCAATCTTGTGAACCCTTTACAAATTCCACTTATAAGATCTCTCAATCCTCACTCACAAACGCTTTCCCAAAATAGTCTCACTCTAACTCTCAAGAGAAAATTCGTAGAAGGATCTTCGACATTCAGTTTTTAGGACCCTTATATAGAAAGGAAAAGAAAATTCGTTCAGAAAACTGAAAATTTCAAGTTGGAAGTACTTGGATCATATAGCACGGTCATACTTTGTACATACGAACAGTTCAAAAAAAAAAAAAAATCCTCGTATGATCCTGGATGAATTGATTTCATACTCTGTTAGTCATATGTACGAACTGATATCGTACAGTATAAACAGTTCAAAAGTATACAAGTTTGTTCGGTACGATTTCATGCGAACCCATTTCGTGCTTAGATCTGTTGTATGTACGAACCATATATCGTACAATATGAACTGTTAAATCGCATCATGCTTCATATGGTACGAACATAGATAATCCTATTTCGTACAATAAACATCATCTATACGAAACTAATTTCATATAATATGGACAATTCAAAAATTTTACCTGTTCGTATGGGACGAACATGTATGTACCAATTTCGTACTCTTGATCTCGTTTGTACGAACCTCACTTCTTACAGTATGATCAGTTCATAAAATGATGAGTTCATCCGGAATGAACTAGTACATATCAATTTCATACTCTTGACATCATATGTATGAACCAATATTCGTACAATATGAACAGTCCAAAAAATTTTCTATGTCATGATTCGATTAACTTCTTTATGGAGGAACACTAAGGTCAAATCGTCTAGTACAATTCCATAATCGTATAGTACGGTTAGTTTTAAAAATATAAGTTTTGACTCACTCCTAGTGTGTGTGTGCACGATTATCCAATTATAATCATTCTCTCTCAGATTCAAGAAAATAATAAAAAGTAAAGACTTCAATTACAAGAAACCTTAATCTAATATGTCTTAAAGTCTTCGGCAGTCTGGAGTATGATTTACCTAAAACGTTAGTACACACAAACAAGATTTTTCCAATGTATTAGGAGAAACATTAATCAACACAATAATAGTTTGGTATTATAAAAAACTCACATGATATAAAAACATAATTTTGAAAATTAAGTTGCAATAGCTATCCCAAACAAAGCTTAAATTTTAACAATTTAAGTACAAATACAATTTAAGTATCCAATTCAATGTTATAATTATTTTTTTGTTTGTGGTTGGCATTTGAGTTGGTTCAAACCCAAAACATTAAATTTAATAAATTAATGATATTTTATTTTAAATTTTATGTTATTTTATTAAGTAAAACCTTTGATATGTCATAATGAATATACAATTAATCAAAAATTATAAAGCTAATAGTTTTATTGAGCTTTAGAAAACAAGCAATTTTATTGAAAAGTTGTATTATTATTTAAATCTTTAATTATAATTTTATACTTTTTTTTTTTAATTTTGCTACTTTATATCATTAAAAACTATTAAATAGCATAGCAAATCACTCTTCTTTCAATTTCTCACACTATATTATAGGTCAATTTTGATATGAAATTTTTTTCCACATAAATAAAAAAATATATATAAGAGACCGATAAAAATTAATTATCGATAAATATAAAGGTTTAATGAGCAACATATGAGGTTATACATAAATGCTATTTTTTAATAATAAATTGTAATTTTTTTTATTAAATCTTATGTCTTCTATCAAACTTTAATATAGTTATTTAACGAACAGATACGCAGAAAGAACATACACTGCAATAAAATTAATAGGAAATGCGGAATTCCAATGTCCAGTTTCTATAAGAACCGAAAGTCAATTTTTCGATTTATATAGAAACCGAAAGTCAATTCCCCGATTTTTATAAAAATCGAAACTCACTTCTCCGATTTCTAAATTGCTTCCTGCATTCATTTGAAAGCTTCACTTCCTTCTAACGCTTAATTTGGTGAAAATATGCTATTTTTTTAAAATTCGCATATTAGATACCAAATAACTTTTATATATAATTAAAAGTTTATAACTAACATTAATGTTATTTATTATTTTCCCCAAGTTTTAAATATTTATAGTAAAACAAATTGGCCCTTTACAGGCCATTTCCAGGCCTTATTTAAGGCCCAATCATCCAACTCACGTAAGGGGTTGCCAGCTTTTGAACTAGCAAGTGTCAGGGAGAAATGGCGGGATCTCGTGGAACCCTAGAACCAGACGTCCCGATGGAGCTTTCGACTCTCTTCCAAAGGAACGGACAATTGATCGGATTTTGCTAAGTCCCGGCTTCTTGGTTTAACGCGCTTCCATGGAGAGCAAGCTGCCCGTCCGTTGCAGCGAGAACGAGAATGTTGCCTTGTACCTCTGGACAAAGAGGAATGAGATAGTCGAGCGCGGTGGGATCACGGACAATCTCGACTTGACGCTTACTAAAGCCTACCGTAACATCTGCAGCTGCAAGGCTCCCATCAAGACCCTCAAAGATCTTTCTCAGATCAAGTAGGATATCAGTTCTTTATGAATCCTTGTCAGAACCCTAGTTTTTTTTTTTTTCTGTAAAAGACAAAAATTTTGAATTTTTAAATCACGGCAGATGCATAGGAAAGTGGATTATAAGGCTCATGCATGGTTGTTTTCCCAATGATCCTCCTGCGGGTGGTTCTCCGACCAAAAATAGCCTCCAAAATGGTAAACATTTTTTTGGTTCCGGGTTCGTTCGTTTTCTTGCTCTTCAGGTTCCATGCTGCATGTTTTAGATATGGCGTGTATTTCATCTATTATGCTATTTAAAGCTTGAGGCTTTCCTTAGGGAGGAAAGCTAAAGGACCCAAGCGATATGTTCCACAGAAGAATTCCGTGGCATATGCATTATTAATTACTCTTTACAGGTAGGTGACAGTTTATTTTCCTTCCTATCTGGTCTGTTGCTCTAGGTTTATCTTAATTGTCATATGCCTTGACGTTATTTTTTCTTTGTGATTTCCAGGGGAATTGCGGACGGTATTAAATTTATGAAGAAACAAGAGCTAATTGATGCTGCTGAAGCAAGCGGGCTCTCACGGAATTCAATCAGGTTAGTGGCTAATCATGTTTCCGGTGCATTTTTGCAGGGGAAAAATGTTTATTGATTTCTGCTTTTCTATTAAAAGGCCTGATAAAGTCAAAGGGAAACCTGGGCAATTTGGGAGCTCACCCAGGGACTGGTATACTGGATGGAGTTGCATGAAGACATTGATATCAAAGGGATTGGTTGCAAAGTCTAGCTGCCCTGCAAAGTATGCTTCCTTTCATTTTTTTCTTGTTGATAAGTTCATTGCTAACTGCTAAGTTATAACACTAGTATGCTTATATGTATTCCATTTCAGTTATGCACTTAAATTTGCGCTTTCAATAGCTTGAATTTCCATTTTTTTTAATAAGCTATTTCCTTTGAAGATGGCTTTTTTGTCAGCATTATTCTATAGTTGCAATATTGAAAACCCACATTTTTTCTAAATCAGGACACATGCTCTTAGTTTGGATTCAGCAGATTGAAAGTTTGAATAAAATATGATAGAATTTCTGTAAATATTCTGCTAACCTCTTGTAGCATAATCTGTAAAGTGATTTGAAATAGCATTGATTGTCAAGAGTGAGCTGATGTAGTACTACTTCCCTGGAAACTTCCCTTTCCATGAAGAATTACCAAAGCACACACCATGCTTGATGATTGTTGTCTTTGAGTGGGGAGACATAGAATTCAACAGTTAAAGAAACTGTTAGTATGGTAGACACAAGGATCTCTTCAACTACATTTGTTTGGGGAGGGAATGATCGATGAAGCCTTCCACTTAAGTAGACTGGCCTTTATAAATTTACCCTTATTCCATCTCACATTTGGTAAACTTATCGTTAATCCGTCCTATGAAATTGTTGACTAAGTGTATTAAAGGAAGCACCCTTGATAATCTATCATGGTTAAAAACTCATGCAAATTTTCTTGTTATGCGTGTCATTCTATTGGATGCAGAATTCCAAATTCTATATTCAATCAAAACATTTGGATATTTTTGTTTCTTGTTGATTGCATTATTTTTCTAGACCAACTATTAGTATGTCATTTTTCTTCTGATAGTTGGGAATTCCTTGCTCATCATGCTTTGTTTTTATCTTGTTTTATTTCCACTTCATTTTAATTTTTTAAATTTTGATCAAAATTATCATTCATTCTGCTCTTAGTAAAAAAAAATAAAGTTAACTTTATTTGATATTTGCAAGAGAGCAGGTAAATGCACTCTTGATATTGCAGCTTTATGTTTCTTCTTGATTACATTGGTTTTCTTGACCAAGTATTAGTATTGTGTTTTTCTTCTGAATAGTTTGGGAGTATCATGCTATGTGTTTGCCTGATTTTCTTCCATTATTTTAATTTCTAAAAATTTTGATCAACATTATCAACCATATTGCTCCTATTAAAAAAAAGTAAATTTTGTTTGAGATTTGCAAGAAAGTAGGTAAATGCATGTTTGATATTGGGTTTGTGTGATTTAACTACTATAAACTGAAAGAAGGTTACCTCAGAACAAAGCTCAGCACAAATGCACTCTTTATATTGTGTTTCTGCTGTTAAACCACTACAAACTGAATTAGGAGTAATATTCAACTTGACTGTTTTTAATGCTCTTTCTATTTCCCATGTGAAGTTACTTTGGAAATCATTGAGCTATGTTGGTGAAGTGGACCATAGCAGGTGCCATAACAACTCATTACCTTCTTCTAGATCAGTGAAGAAAATTTTGACCATTTCTAGCCCAAGTTCATTTGTTATTGTTACAAAGGAAATTAGTTGACTTTTTATTGGGGCAAATGTTCTGGAAATAACATTAATTGAAACAACTATGGTTACACTTAAGCATGCAAATTTTCTCTGTCAAATTCTTACAGTTATAAATGGCATTTTCCTTTCAAGAGCATGTGTTGTATATTCTTTCCAAAAATAATTATACTGCTTTAACATCGTGTACATTAGTGATATCATTAAACTTTGTTTTCTTACTATTCTTTCCCATCCAATATTTATTGTTATATGAAAGTATGAAAGCCTTTAGGTTGTTTTTATCTTTATTCAGGTACATGCTAACCCAAGAAGGGCAACAAGCAGCAAGAGAATGCCTCTTGAGATCTGGTTTGTCTGATGTTGTTGCAGACCTGTCTACAGGAATCATATCTCCTATTGTTGTTGGTGGGCAGAATTTAGACGCTATCTCTGTAGTATCCATAGATGATGAACCCATGATGGATTCATCCAACAAAAGTGTTCAAGCAAGACTAAATGGTACATCTTTGAACTTGCTTGGCCAGGTTTGTTTTACGCCGTGGTTCATGTTCACTTCATTCGTGTTATTTCTGCACATATGCAATCACATATTTCTTTATCTAACTTGTAATTTGCTCTTTTGAATGTTTAAAACTGCCACATAAACCATCTTTATATATATATATATATATATATATATATAAAGATGGTTTATGTGGCAGTTTTAAACATTCAAAAGAGCAAATTACAAGTTAGATAAAGAAATATGTGATTGCATATGTGCAGAAATAACACGAATGAAGTGAACATGAACCACGGCGTAAAACAAACCTGGCCAAGCAAGTTCAAAGATGTACCATTTAGTCTTGCTTGAACACTTTTGTTGGATGAATCCATCATGGGTTCATCATCTATGGATACTACAGAGATAGCGTCTAAATTCTGCCCACCAACAACAATAGGAGATATGATTCCTGTAGACAGGTCTGCAACAACATCAGACAAACCAGATCTCAAGAGGCATTCTCTTGCTGCTTGTTGCCCTTCTTGGGTTAGCATGTACCTGAATAAAGATAAAAACAACCTAAAGGCTTTCATACTTTCATATAACAATAAATATTGGATGGGAAAGAATAGTAAGAAAACAAAGTTTAATGATATCACTAATGTACACGATGTTAAAGCAGTATAATTATTTTTGGAAAGAATATACAACACATGCTCTTGAAAGGAAAATGCCATTTATAACTGTAAGAATTTGACAGAGAAAATTTGCATGCTTAAGTGTAACCATAGTTGTTTCAATTAATGTTATTTCCAGAACATTTGCCCCAATAAAAAGTCAACTAATTTCCTTTGTAACAATAACAAATGAACTTGGGCTAGAAATGGTCAAAATTTTCTTCACTGATCTAGAAGAAGGTAATGAGTTGTTATGGCACCTGCTATGGTCCACTTCACCAACATAGCTCAATGATTTCCAAAGTAACTTCACATGGGAAATAGAAAGAGCATTAAAAACAGTCAAGTTGAATATTACTCCTAATTCAGTTTGTAGTGGTTTAACAGCAGAATTCCATATTTGGATTTCCAAATTAGGAAATATTTCAAATTTTGAAATTTCAAACTCTAATTTGAGGTTGGGAGAGAATTCTGGGATGAGGCGTATGAGGGGTTTGGCCGGCAAGGTGGTGGGCGGCGGGATGGGGCTAGGCCGGCGGGGGGGGAACTCCCTTGGGCCGGCGGCAAGAGCAAAGGGAGAGAGGCTTTTGGGGAATTCTCTAGTGGGGAAAATATCATGTAGAAAACAAATAAATAAAACAAGATAACTAGAGAACTCACTAAGAGATCTCAAGGGGAAGAACTCACCAAGAGATCTTTCTTGCACTCACCAAGAGAACAATATGGAGGAAATTTTCATTCATTAAGCAATAATCAAAATAGTACAAGATCTAGCCTTTATATAGGCTCCACATCATACGGGAAATAAAAGACTACAATGCCCATGGGGCAAAACAAACACTACTTCCCTCATAGGGGTACAAACGGAAAAGACAAAATATAAATAACATGAATATAATAAGACATCAAAAATAAAGACTCTGAATCAGGGCCGTCGATCGACGCCTCCGGCGATGGTACACGTGTCGGAATCTGATGCCCTCATCACAGCATATGTCTGGATGCTTGTAACCATTTTTGTATGGCAACCTTGCCCATTGCAAATATCCAAAACATATATTTTTATTTTCATACTCATGGTGTCATAATGTTGACGGATAAACAGTAAAGCACCCATATTGTCCTGTTCTTCATTGTTCAGAATATAAATCAAATTGAGCTCAAAATTCTTTATAACTGGAACATTGAAGCATGCAAAACTAAATGTCATGGGATGCTGCCTTGATTTCTTTTAACAATGCTCTTATACATGGAAAGTTGACCAAAGTACTGTGCTGAAAAAAAGAAGAAGATGAAACTAAGTTTATTGGGGACATTTTAAGGCCTTTGTTTTTGAAATCACGTTAGAATATGGATGAAACTATTTTGTATGGGTTAAAATCTCATGTCATTTAGCCTGTGTTGCTGGCTTGTATCATGATTAGAGCTGTGACAGGCATATTGGAAATTTTGGCTCAAGATTGCTTAGGCAGATCAGGGATCATGACGTGAACTTTGCTAAAATTATTTTGAATTGATCTTGGAAATTCATCTTTTTTTTTTTTCAATTTGGAGCTCACTCATGAATGACTAGTTGGATTCTTAAAAGTTTTTTCTTCTCTCTTTTTCTCTCTCTTTTAAAGTTCTTATGAGTGATTTTAATTTATATGAAGGTCCTTTTTTATGTTGAATTCAATCAGGCTATTACAATAAAAATGGTGTGGATACCTTTAAAAAGTGGTAACTTAATGCTTGCATATGCATATTGACAATAAAATGTGGCACAATAACTGAAATTCACATTCGCGTTTATGGAGATAGGTTTGCCAGTATGTCCATGCTTGTATTTGCATTTGTGTTCACACACACTTATCATTCTTGTACATTTACACATATAATTAACATTAATTTATGCTAATTAGGTTTGATCCATTCTACACGAGTGATGTTGTGGCACTCAGTTAATCTTTTCATGATTCATATGCTTAATCAAGATTGAGGGGTGGTAAATTGTGAGAAAGGATTAATGAAATAAATATTAGAATCATAAACAACCATATGTGAAAAAAAGTTCAGATGATTTTGTGAGAAAATTAGGAAAAGTGTAATTTGAAGTGATTGTATTAGCGAGGTGCCATGATTAGCACCTAATGAGCATAAGTGTGTAGAGAAATACAAATTGGTGCTTTGGGTTTGTAGAATGGAGAACACTAGAGATTTAGAAAGTGCATATAAAATGCGTAAGATTGACATGGAGTGGGACAAATGTAACACGAGTTGAAGTGTATAAACTTGCATAAATTAAAGTCTACATTAAAGTCAATGCCTAATATTGTGACAAGGATCATGATGATGATAATGCTATTGAAAGCATAACACATACTTAGTACTTTTGAATTGTTGATTCTATTTTCAAGTCAAATCATTCCTCTCACAAACAACTAAGTTTTTTCTCATCAATGCATGTGAATGTGATTGCAGAATTCTCGAAGTGGTTCACTTGAATCTTTTGATTCTAGTTTTAAATATCCTGCAAATGATTGGTCCGCTACATCAACTCGTTGCACATCTTTGAACATGGGTATGCATCTTCTTCTTAGAGTTATGAAGCCTAAGTGATTATGACACTTAGACATACCCTAAAAGATGCTATTTAAATAGTGAAACCGCTTTATTATTTCCAGACAATTGCAGAGAGTACGACTCTTATGGTGATTCAAATCGGCCAAGTTCAGCTTTCATTGGTGCAGCTCCATGCTCTTTCAATCCAAGGACTTGCACATCATATGTATCTTTCCATTAAAAAGTTCAATCTCAGTAAAATGCTGTGCATTTCATATTCTACCCAAGGTTTATATGTTTGTGTGAATTTAACATCTGACATCAACTTTCTTTTGATGTCCCAAGGATCAAAATTTGCACAAATCATATCAAGCTGGTGCTGGGGAAGGAGATATCAATTCTCTAGCCATGCCTCCAAGTATGCTTGGTGAGAAATTTGAGGAAATTTATGATGTCATCTTAATTTTAGATGATCGAGAAAATTTCGGGTGAGAATAAAATAATAGAAATCCTAAGTTGATAAATTGACTTTGTCTTAGCAAATAATATTTCGTTGCTTTATCAGATTTTCTTGTAAAGGTTGTAATATGGTTCTTTGCCATAAAATTCATTTTTTTAATTTTTTCCTTGTATACTATTTAAGCCTCATTATTTTGTTGATGGTTATGCCTCATGTAGCATCAAAATTGGTTTGACAATTAATAATGTGATGCAAGCAAAAAAACAATACCTTCATAGGTAATAGAAATTATACGAAACTCACAAAAACTTGACAAAATACATACTAGAAAAAAACAACTTTCATATTATAATAGACTCTTACAAACTTGGACACAAACACCTTATAGACTTTGACGACATAAACACAAATTAAAGACACCTAAAGGAGCTTGTCAATCGTTGAGAACAAGGATACATGTGAGCTGGATACTTGCGGCGAGAAGAAGAGGTTAGAAGACTAGACGAAGTGTAAGAGAAGCTCGCAAGCCCTCGCAAGAAGTAGAAGAAGAAGAAGTGGAACAAGCTCGCAAGCTTTTCCAACAAAACCCGCAGGTTTACATCTCCAAAAATAACTTCATATCACCATCCTTTTCCATTTCAAAACAACTCATTTTTATAGGCAAAAGAAGGTAGACAAATAGCCATAACACCTCCAATCAAATCCAATCAGAATTGGGGAAATGAAAGGCCAAAAGTCACCAAATAGAAGCCCAAAAGACAACAAAACTACTGCAGGGAAACTGCACAGAAAACAGAGAAAATTCCATAGAATTCCCCCCCAAACAGCCATGGAAAACCAGCCAGCAAGGGACCCGAAAAGCCAGCACAGGAGGCAAAGCATTAGGTCATGAAAAACCAGCCAGCAAGGGACCCGAAAAGCTAGCACAGGAGACAAAGGGGTAGATCACGGGAAACCAGCCCGCAAGGTAAAACCGAGAAGACAAAGGGAGGAGAAGAGGCACAAGTCCACCCCATAATGAATTCTTGAAATAATAGCATACCTTTTTGAATTAATGAGCAAAGAAGTGCATTTAATCCCCAATCATTGAGCTAAAACTTCAGCTCAAACATTTATAAGCTAACACCAAGTAAAATCCAGAATTTTGAGCTCCATACCAAGCAGCCAAGGCCCAAACAGTGAAACAACAAGTAGCCCAAAAAAAAAAAAAAAAAAAATAAAAAAAAAAAAAAAAACAAAATATTCATTTTGTTTTGACACCCCCCCCCTGCCTACATCATAATGTCTATTTGATATTATGCTGCATGTTAAATTTTGTAATTAAGCTGTGCTAATTGGTTATGGAAGCCTAAGGGCATAGTCGAGGGATGATTAAAATAAGTGCTTCTCGTTTTAACCTAAAACATTTATGCTTCATATTAAGTTGCCATAGTTTGAATGTTCAACATCAATTTGTTATTGATATACCTAACTGATGACGACATCAGTAGAAGATTCGAGCGCGTCTATCACATGAGACATCGCAGATCGACGGCCACGATCAGGAGCATCTATTTATGAGTTCTTTTATATTATTGTATTAGTATTATTTTATTATTTGTTTTAGTTGACCTTTGTACCCTTATAAAGGAGTTTAGTGAGTTTTAGCTCAAAGGGCATATGTGTCTTTGATTTTTCATCCTTGTTGAGGCTTATATATAGTGACCCTAGTATTTGGATTGGTTTTTTAATGATTGTTTAATAAAATTCCTGATTTTCTTCTCTCGAGCTTGTGAGTTCTTGAGTGTCGAAGTCCCAAGGCGTGGTCAAAGCAATACCCACATGTTGCGGCGGTGCTCCGGGCTCGTGGTCCGATTTTTGTCTCACTTCAAGCCGCCGGCCATCCCCTCCCCTTGGTGTCTAGCCGCCGGTTAGTCCCATCCCCACCGCCGGCCTAATCTCCCCCACCGTCCCCTTCAATCTCCCCTTAACCGACCCCCTCCACCACCCCAAACCGCCGGACATCCCACCCCCACTTGTCCAGCTGACGACTCACCGCCCTCTAACCGCCGTTTCCCCTCCCTAGTCCTCCCTTAGCTGCCGGCCTACCTTGCCCAAAGTTTGAATTTCAAAATTCAAACTACTTTAATTACCTTTCTGAAATAGCACATTAGTATTTAGGAAAGTATCCTTATTTGAATTCAATTAAATATTTGAATTCTAATTACTTTTCTATTGTTAAAAATCAATTAGGAAGCTTATCTAATTAAACCAAATCTGAAATTAAATTTCAGATTTGATTCCAATCTATAATTAACTTCTTTGGGCCCACATGCATTAATCCTTAGCAACTCTTTCCCTCCCCTTTGGTCGGACCCCTTACCTTCCTATTTCTCTCTCCAATCAATTCCCTAATTCAAATTAATTGCTCCCTAAGCTCCCTAAACCACCGGTCTCCTCGACTATTTGGAGAATAGTTTGAGAGTTCAAATCACCCCTTTCCTCCCTTAGAAATTCTGAAATAAATTTCATAATTTTTAAATCCTCTTCCCTATCTCCTTAGCCTTAAACCCTAGCTTCCCTTCCCTTTATCCCTCCTCCCCCGAGCACCGCAATCCGCCACCCCTCCTTCCTTCTCCCCCTAGTTCATCGACGACTCCTCCAAGATTCACAACCACGAATACTCCCATGTTCTTGGATGGCCAATCCTGAAGTCGACCATTGATTTGCGTATAATTCTCAAGAGCAAATCGACATCCTTCAATCGCCCTTCTTTGATCCTGACTGGGAGTCTGAAGATTCTGTCGAAGACTATGTAGATCGTATACTATTTCATCTCGCCGAGACGATCGACGAACAACGACCATCCGGACAGTGGCAACTCATTGGACGTCTACCTGGGCCTTCTTCTCTGGCTACTCTCCCTTGGATCAAGACCATCAGCGTTGTCACCTTCCTAGTGCATCGTTTGGCTTGCTAAAGATCTCTGATGCTGGACATATATGAAATTATGATTTAGATAAGGATTTTGTATGCTTGATGATTAAGAGCAAGTTAATTAAAGCTTTATGGTGAGTTAATAATGGAATAAAACACAAAGACTAGTAAATACAAGCTTAGGCCAGGTTACTCGCGAAAAATAAAAAATCACATAACAATCAATTACTCTTGACGTTGCATATGAGATGGGTTTCAACAAGAAATCCCTAATCTAACAATAAGAGTATTACTATGAAAGATCTCTCACACAATTCCTGCTAAACACTAAGCTTTAGCGGAGCGTTGCAAGATTTTGCATGAATCAATCAAAACCACAAGTAAGGATCAATTGAGGAAGGTATGAGAGAAGGCAAGAGTTCACCATTTGCTAAGATTCAACCTTCTCGCAAGCTTGAACAACAGTTGGTGGCTTCTTGGATGGCTCAGACAGCAATAAATCCAAGCTCGAACCTTTGGACAGCAAGTAGCCAATTTGGGATAGCAATTCCTGACAGTTCTAGGCAGCAACAGTTGCTCCAAAAGGGGCTGGACAGCAGCACACTCCTGCTGGAATTACTGGACAACAAACAGGAGGTCTTAGACAGCATCTCTCTAGGATTTGGAAGGTTGGACAACCACTATTAGCATCCAGAAATTCCAGGATTGCTTTGGAGGTTAGGGTTTGATGTGGGTGGCTGGTAGAGAGAGGGAGGAGAGGGAGGGAGGAATTAGGGAATTAATTCCTTTGATTGGAGCTTAGAGTTTTGGAAAGAAATTAATTGGGAAAGTGGCCATGGGGCTGGCTGCATCAAGAGGAGTGGAGGGGATTGGGGAGAGGGTTTTAATGCTTGCTTCTTTGGGAATTCCAAATAAGGAGGGAAGACTTAATTCCAATCCAATTCAAATTTGATTTGGATTTGATTGGATAAGTTTCCTAAAATAGAATTTTATTTTAGGAAACACTTTGAATTTCAAATATTGATTGGTTGATTGGATTAAAAGCTTTCCCAAAATGATTTGTATGGAAAAGGAAAGAAGTAATGGAGAGATTTGAATTTTGGAGGTGTGGGGGAGATGGTATGGCCGGCGGCTAGATTAGGAGTAGGTTTAGGGTTTGTGGGTTGAATGGCTTGGTGGTGGCAGAGGGAGGGCCGGTTTGGGTGTGGAGGGAAGATGGGTGGGGGGGGGGGAGTTGGGTGGAGTGTGGCTAGGAATCTGGCGGCTAGGAGGAAGGGTAAGGGAGAAACGGAGCCAAAAGGAAGAAAGAAAATAAAAGCCACGAACTTGGACGCTTCCAAGGTTTATGGATGATCCGGTTCCCTCTCCAAGGGTTCTCTCCAAAGCTCTCACGCTCTCAAGACAAGAATTGTAGGAAATTTTCTTATTATCATCCATTAACCCTCAAAGAAGAAGAGGGAGGCTTTAAAAAGCCCATACAATGAGAAAATACAAAGTACTACTATGCCCCTAGGGCTTACACATACTTAAGCCCTTAAGTAAGGGAAAAAATGGAAAAGCATAATAAAACTTTATAAATAAAACTAATACATCAATAATAAATATGAAAGTTAAAAAGTAGAGCGGTGTAATCGTTGCCGTAGATCGACTACCACGCCTCTAATAAACTTTCCATGTCCTGATGTCCTCATCAATCTCTCTCCGTTAAAGCCCCTCATAGAGTGTTAGTGAGAAAGAGAAACTCGAGGTGAAAGCTCTTGATATTAACCTGTGGATTATTATTACCAGTATATCTAGTTTTATTGTATTTTCTGATTTTGCTTTAAATTGATCTGTTCTGTTAAAAGTGTAATTGCATGCCTGAGCAAAACCTCAAAGGATAATTCTTAAAAAATATTTATTATTATTCATTAGTCTTAAAGGAGCGAACTTGCAATAATTTTATTATTTCCTAAAAATTCCCGGTTGTTTCACATCATTTTGGCATCATAGCATGGTTTGCTCGTTTTGCATGTGCTAGGATTCATCTTAGAGTTCTAAATAGCCATATTTAAGTTTGCCTAGTTGTGTCACATTGTACTATTGAAATAACACTTTGTTTGTTTGCTGTCAATACATTTTTGCATCATTTAGTGAGCTTTAGGAGTGTTGGCATATAGGTTTAGGTGCTGCCCTCCCTATTCCTTAACATCCCTAAGTGTCACCTAGTGTATCCCAGTAGAATCAAAATTTTGTTTTCAATCCAATTGAAGTTTGAGTATTATCCGGTGAGTTTTTAATTTCAAATATAATCACTAGCCCTAATATTCATCATTTAATGGAATCTCAGTGATTTTAGAAGTAATGATGATCAATATTTTTGGTAAAATTTTCATGGAAATTGATATGATTCGTAGAATGAAGTGGCACACGATTCCATTAAATTTTTAAATTCCTTCTTAAAAGGTTGGACTAAATTTTATGATATTATTGTTGAATCCATCGAGGTAAGTGCATGATCAATATGCCATTGGTTTTACGATTAAAATAATATCATATACCTATGGGGATTGCTAGCATAGTTTATTTGTTACTTGTCTGGATTGTTACCAAATTATCTTCTACATCTTTAAAGTTAAATTAGAGATTTAAAAAAATCCCTTGCAACCACCAGGTTTAAAGTTATACTGTTAATTTACTGGAACAAAAATTTAAAATTCACTTCTTTTATAATCAAACACAAGGCGGTTTGACCAAATATTTTCCTATTTCAATTGGGTTATATCACGGATTAACTTTAAGCCTATATCTTTTCGCTTTTGTCATGGTTGTTTTTACTAGATATTTGCAAGATGATGTATTTTAGTTTTTGTTTTTTACTGATGATATTCTTCTTGTTGAAATGACTGGAGAGGGAGTTGATGAAAAGCTTGAATTATAGAGGTTACACCTAGAGTCTAAAGTTTTTCATTTGAGTAGATCTAAAACCGAATAAATGGAGTGTAATTTTAGTAGTAATAGTTCTAAGGTGGGATTTTGACATTTGAGTAATCAAGTAATCAAACAGAGTGCATGTTTTAGATATCTCGGGTCTATTGTTCAAAGCGATGATGAAATAGATATAGATATTATTAGTAGAATTCAAATTGGATGGTTGAAGTGGAGGAATGCATGAGGTCTATTTTGTGATTGAAAAATACCCCTCAAACTTAAGGGAAAATTTTATGAGATTGTGCTGAATTTTGTAAAGCTTTATGGCGTAGAATGTTGGCCATTAAAAGAGAAGAAAAAAATTATTTAAAGTTAACTGTTGTAGAGATGAGGATGCTCAGGTGGATGAGTGACTTTACACTTACATAAAATACGGAATGAAAATATACATGAAAAAGGTTGGAGTAGCTTCAGTGGAAGAAAAATTACCATTCACAAGCAAAAACTTTCTAATCTAAAACTCACCACACCACCTTTATTTTCATTGTACTAAAGTTGCATGAAGAATTACTCGGTCAATTTTGAGTTGATTCTCTATTTTTTTGCAATATTTGCAGATCTCGCTCAAGAAAAATTGTTGACATGATACAATCACAGTTTAATATTCTTGTTGAGGTCAGAAATTTGTTCTTCACTATAATGTTCTTTTGTTTTATTTTTTCTCTTATGCTTTTCTATTTAATTATATGGTATTTTATGGGAAATAAAAAATAAAATTGGGTAAATTTAAAGAAATGAGAACATTAGAAGTTATGGAGGTTGTTGGGTGTGCATATGCTTTTCTATTTTTCAAATCAAATTTTATCAAAGCTGCTTTATGGTTATCAATCTTTGTCTTGATGTTGAATCATCATCATCATTAGCCTTATCACAACTATTTGGAGTCGGCTTTATTGCGTTTTTGTCAAAAAAAAATGCAAAATGTGTGAAAAAAATTACAAGCATTATTATCCAAAACACTTTGTGCACTTCTTGCAGTATTTTTCACATAGTAGGAAAACGCCTACACGTGTTGAGGTCTAAAGTGCTCAAGTAGCCATCTTTTGTTCTTCCGATAAACACAATGTATTGGAATTTTTTTTCAATACACTTATTATTTTATCAATTTGAAATAGTTTACATTTCATCTTATTTCATTTATGAAATATAATTTTTTTGGTGCCCCTTGAAATACCTATGGCGTGCCTGGGGCTCTTTGGGAATCTTCAATGTATAAGATTCTTTGTGCCCAATTGAACTTCAATGTATAATACTATTCTACGTGTTAATCTTATGTCATTTAGAATACTCACATGTTAGAAGCTCCTTCACGTTGTGGTAATTCCTTGTTGGACTTGCTCTAGGGGTTTCTCTCTAAAATAGGACACCCTTGCATGGAAGTTCAACTGGCTGCAAGCAGGTCTTGAAAAAAGCTGTGTAACGACTAGAAATTTAATTTCACTGGTACCATATTGGTTCCCTTGCGAAGCACATTCTCAATTGAAGAGCCAACATTCTACCTCGTTTGACTTTCAAATAATCATAATTTTAATGACTGAAGTATTTTATGGTTTCGGTAACGAGTTAATTGTCAAATTGTTGATCATTATTTTAGCTGAATAACTGAATTAAAACTTCATTAATTTTGTTTAGAAATATGTAATTTGAAACAAATAAATATCCAACTGATTCTTGATTTGAAGTGTCCATTCAGTTATGCAATTTGAAGAAGTATTTCCCCATTTTACTTCTGTTCAGCCGGCCCAGTCCCTTGGACCGGTTCGGGTTGTTTACAGCAGGAGGGGGCCGGCGACTTCTAGGAGAGAGGAAGGGGTGGGGTCCACTTGATATTCAAATTCAATCTTGGAGCCAAAAGGTGGGGCGGCAAGGGCAATTAGGTCCTTTTGTATTAATTTTGAATTTCATGCATTAAGGGGAAAAGCTAGGGTTAAGGGTATGTGGAATTTTCTGAAATTGTTCTTGGGTTTTCTCTTGTGGCTAGGGCTCTAGATTGTTTTCTAGAGATTGGGAGAGTGTGATTCTCCTCTCGAATATTGGATCTATTGTATCTTTGCTGTTTTTCTTGCATCTACCATTAAAATCAAATATTTTGTTGTGATTTCTCCCTAGTTTTCTCTATATTTTCTCTGTTTTTCCACTGTTTGCGGCTGAATTCCTGCTGTAAACAGCAGTTTGGTTGCTGTTTTCTACTGATTTGGGCTAGAAAATACTTGAAATCAAGTATTTCTTATCAAATTGGTATCAGAGCAAGTCTTGGGACCAATCGTGGGCTGTTTTTGACAAATTTCAACGGCTGAAATTTGTGCTGGCGAAGAGGAAATTGCTGAAATTTTTTTTTCAGATCTAGAGATTTTCTCAAAATTTGTGCCGCGATATCTCTATTTGATCTACCAACAAATCCGATTTTGGCACCACCACCAACTTCTAAATCATAAAATAAATTGACTTTATGCAAATTTAATAAAACACGAATAACCTATATGAAAGTATCAAACATATTTTTATGTCATATTAAAATATAAACAAAATAAAAATAAAAGTAATAATAAAAATAAAAAGTAATATCAAATGGCCCGTAAGGCTTATATTTTATCATGGAATTTTTTAATTGATTCTATTTGTTCCCATCACCCCACTACTGCTATTCCTCGGTACCGCGTTTTTTTTTCCTCGAAGGACGTAATAATTGTTCCCCATTCACCACCCACCCAGATAATTCACCGTGTTGGGAGGCTTGACTTACAGTTTTGTCAACACTATGCTATCCATAGATGCAAAAGTTAGCGGGTCTTGTTCTAAAGCATCTGTAGCTGTTTTCTTCTATAAGGATTGCAGTATTCTTGAGCGAACACTTGTACATGACAATTTTGGCTGCATATCTGATTTTGGGAAATATAAATGAAATGACAGGATCTATGTGCGTGTTCAGTTGTTTGGACTTTGGAGATGCTTTTACATATTTGAGTTATTACTAGCATGTTATATAACTTCGCTAAAATCTGAGCTGGGCATGGCCAGCTCTTATTTAAAGAAAGAAAGCTTTTTTTGATAAAAACAAATGCACTCCATAAACTAGAATATCTTACCAAAGTCCATTTCGTTTCTGTGAAAATATCAAATTCAGGAAAAAAAATGTCAAGTAACGAGCGTCCAATTTTGAACCATTTTGTGTTCGATGGATGCATTTTATTATTCATTTATTTGTGTTCTTATACCATTCTCCTTTGCTATTTCTTTTGTTTCTCTTCTGCTAAGTATTTTGGAGGTACTTTTATACGTGAAAAGTGAAACTAAGCTCAATTGGACCCCAATCCCCAACTCCATTAAAATTTTTTATGTTTTTGATTGTTGCATTTGGTTATTACTTGAAAAGTGAGACCAAACCCAATTGATCCCCAACCCCCAACTTCATGAAAATCTTATATTTTTGTTGTGTCTTGACCTACAACATCAGCCAAACTTATGGCATTTTCGCACAGGTCAGACGCTTGCCTGTTGGAGATGGAATTTGGGTTGTACGGCATAAAAAATCTCACGCTGAGTATGTGCTTGACTTTATTGTTGAGAGGAAAAGAGTTGATGATCTATTTAGCTCCATCAAGGACAACCGATACAGAGATCAGAAACTGCGACTGCAGGTACATTTTTATTACAAATGAGGAAACATTGGCTGTTATGAAGTATTGTTAAGTGTTCATTCCACATCAAAATCATTGAAAGTTACAAAAATTTCTTTATTTCATTGTTGAAGTTGGATTAACAATTACACAATTAGCTACAATTGATAAATGATTTATCATCTTTATTTTTCATTAGAATAATTGAACTTTGCGTGAAAGAACTAACCATTTTCCAGGATTATTTTAAAATCATTTCCTTAAAGAATTGATAATTACCGGACTGCTTATTTTGCCTACTGTTAGCAATTGACTTCTTTGGCTTTGATCGTGTGCCAATTTTTTTGTTGCTTTGACTTTTCACTAGTAATCCGTTTTTGCTCTTCTTTCTTATTTTACACAAATGCAGAAGAAACAACCATGTTGCTGAAGAAAAAAAGATTCAATACAATATCTCATGCAATTTTGCTTGTAGAAGCAAAGAGAAAACCCCACCCAATCATAGAAATAGGCCCAAAAGTATAATAAAAAAGTTGAATCTCCTAATGGAGCACCAAAATCTGTGTGTATATTTTTATATCAAACTTGTTGAAGAGGAAAATCACAGTTTGTCCTCTTGCCCTACTCAAGAACTGTCCAATATTCAATGATCATTATTATAGTGTCCTTTAACTGGTTGGGCATAAGGGCTTTGGTCTTGATCAAGATTTGCCTTCTAATGTCATTAACGATAATTCTTGTAGACTTTTTCTTGTCCTTTCTATTTCTTTCCATCTAGATGTGCCATAACATTGGGACAATGGAAATTGTGGTGATCAACTTGATTCCTTTTCTCCTTTGATCTTCTGTTCTCTTAAATTTTATTGATTACATTGATCATATTGTTGACAAAATAGGTTTAAAGCTTACAATGCCTAAGAATTTCCATTACAATAAATTTAGTGAAATCGTAATTGAAGAATAGATGTCCTTGAATTTTTAGACAAGGGAGGGAGGAGACAGCGGAAAAATACAAAGTTTCATCCATTACAATATTATGTTTTTATAACATGTTTTTAGTTTTGACCTTTTGTTTAGCACCATCTGTGGTGTCACCACATGCTTGTGGGCACAATGACCATTGCAAAAAGACAAGGATGAACTTTCCATTAAAAGTTTCCTTCCATAAAATTTCATAATTATAATGAATGAAAATCTTTTTAATGCAAGGCCTAATATGAGTTTTAGCTTGAGGAGTGGTAGCAGATAGGCACCAATCATCATTGATTTGAGATTTTCTGATGTTGATAGACTTATAGACTCCAAGTCCATATTTCATCCACTAAGTGCTGAACACCCAAAAAAAAAAGGTCAGTTTTTCGTTGATCCAAGGAATCGAAAGTAAGATCAATTTCTAAGCCCCAATTTGGAGCGAATTCCTTTCCTACATTAATATTTTGAAATGAAGCAACTCTTTGAAAATTGTCTATTAGGAATTTGATGGAGTGCATTCCCAGAAAATTTTCCTTTTAGATATTTACAATTCACCTATTTACCCTATGCCATTTTGATTTATGGTTTTTCAATCAAACTTGAGCCCGTCAGTGGTATTACATGTTCTAATGCAATGGAGGGGAGTGTACGTCTCCCTCTAGCTTTACAATTGTTTCTCCAATTCATGAATATAGACTTGCGATTCTCAATATAATAAGTCAAAATATAGTTTTTTTGATTTTTTACAATAATTCATTAGCTGACTCTTACAGTTTTAGAAAGAAGCTTCCTTTTTTAGATTTCAAGCCATTGGTTAATCTTATCCTCATGGTTGGCTCATGACTTGGGAGATTTAACTTGAAGAAAAAGGCAGACTAAATAAGGTGAATGGAAGATTAAATATTGAGCCTGGACCATCAATTTTTGGGTAGCTTTTGATAACTAGAGAGACTACATTTTTGCCAATTGATACTAAGCCCAGTAACGATGCTTAGTTTCTTTCAGTTTATCCTTAAGGATGGCAATGTTACCCTCAACAACCTTATCAAAGTCCAGGAGATCATTAGCAAATAGATGATGGGGCAACTTGCTTGGTAATTTGCTAAAGCTTCAAACTCACCTTAAAAAGTTGCCTTGCCAAAAGATAAGATATATAATCAATTGTGATGGTAAAAGATTAGAGGGGGTTCACTTGTCTCAGATCCCTGTTGCTATTGATATAGCCCTGGATCACCATTTATCTGAACCTAGAAATGTGGTTTATTCACTTTATTAGTACATTCCATGATCTAGTTTAACCTTATCGTTGACTTAAACTGCCGGCAAATCACCCATGACTCAAATGACCGGCTCCCACTCCCCACGATCGTTCAAACCAACACCCATGATCTCAAACCATGCTCAAAACTACCGCTCCTCTGCGACACAAAAGGAAAGCTCTCATTCGGCTCTCACACGCACACAGAGGAGGATATCTTTTGAGAACTTACCTCCGACGAAGGAAGCCCTCTTCCGATATCCCTCTCGTCCGCACATAACCGCAACCTTCTTGTGATCCGCCGAACTCCCTAGACCTGAAACACGCCGATTTTACCAGGTATCACAACAATAAGATTTGAAGTCCGGGGTTGATTCGGTCGCTCGAAGCTCTCGGTCGTCGAGATTATCCGACCGAGGGAGCGCAAACACTACTCTTCCAATCTTGTCACCGTTGATTCACTCCGGTCGAGTCGAGCCAAAGGGCAAATGCCCTTCTTACCTCCCGGCGCCGGGGAGGGGACGTCGTAAGGTTGCCGGATTTTCATGGGGAATAAAGATATTTTTTTAAATTAATCAAAATTAAGTTAAATTGCTTAAATCAGCAGGTGTTGCGTACATCAGAAGACTTGAAGACCTTTTTGGGATCGATTCGCTCTCCTAATCTCCTCGTCGTCGATTTACGACATTGCTTCCCTGCGTCGGGGAGGGGACGCCGAGAGATTGCTGAAATGTTCTCAAAATTTTGGACTTAGAATATTTTTAGATTTATTTGGATTTTTGTACTTATTTGGATTTTTGGACTTAGGTAGATTTTGGAAATTAAGAATTTAATTTGAAACCAATTAACTAATAACTCACTAATCAAATAATTTTAATTAAGATCAAATTACTTTCAAAATAATTGTAATTTAATTAACAAATCATTCAAATCTAAAATTGAAATTAAAAAAAACTTAAATTAAATAAATGCTAATTAAAATGTTAACATAATTAATTAACTAAATTTAAAATTATAATCAATCAACCATCTAAAAATCAAAATTAAATCTCTTACAAGTAAATAAGTCTCTTAATAAATTAAATTAATTGAGTAACAAATTAAATTTAAATAATTTCAGCTTTAACTTAAATATAAAATCAATCAAATTTGAATAAACAAAACATCGATTAAAATTAAAATTTGAACTTAAATAATTATATAATTTTAAAATACATTTAATTTGAAATTAAAGAATTGAACATTTAACTTTAATTAAATTGATTAATCTAATTAATTAATGCACATAAAATAAAATAAATGCAAGAAATTAATGTTGCCACTATCCAACCTATGTACAAATTAATCAAATGATGGCTCTCCAAAGTTCTCCAAACAACGAAACTCCCTCCAATAAACAACCTCAAAGCTCTCTAAAAGCTCTCCAATAAGTGGTAGCTCACACAATAACTCTCTAACAGTGCAGCTCTTCAAACTACTAAACAACTACAATTGATAAAAAAAAATTTACAGGAAACAATATATTTTGTTCAACAAACACCCTTACGAGTTGATAGTCCTCTATATCAATTACATATGTGACTTTCAATTTCAAGGATGAAGCATGTCATTTGATAGAAATGGTTCAATTTGTTAAGATTTATAGTGGTTGGTGCTTTAAGCCATTTCCTTCAACGCACAAGTAAAATACAACACACTATAATTCACCTATAAATGGGAGCAAAGTATTTATAGTGCCCACTACAAGTATACTACAATTCACCTATGAGCAGGATTAGGGGATTCGTAGTGCCAACGATAACTAGCCTACAAGCATGGACAAGGAGCTTGTATCAAACAAATCAGTCTACCTACGGGAGAGAATAAGAGAACTTATAGCAAGCAAGATAATTCTCCTACGAACATGAGCACGATCTCCTAATGCCTATTGAACAAGTATTCCCTGCAAGCTATGTTGAGTTGGATAATAACGACAAAGGGATATCTAATATGTGTTACAAATGAAACCTAATTTACAGTAACGCCAATGGATTCACAACATGTGTACAAGTAGACAGAAGGTGTGTACATTTGAGTTAAGATACATGGGTCCAAAGCTTGGATTCCAAAGAGGAAATGATACCCCTTTGGGGGATAGTCCTTTTCCATTTGGAAGTCCAAATTTGGATCATTTTTGATGTGAAACATATGCATGAAAACAAGAACTGCTTGGGGATTCTTAATATAAGATTATTAAAATTTTGCTAGTTATAGAATTAATGCTTACCCAAGTTAGGTTTTCAGAATCCTCAAGTCAAAATTATGTAAGGCAAGCGGTTACAACTAGATTAACGGGACAATATCAAATTGACAACATATAAATAGAGAGTAATGTTATGGTGAGAAACAATAATCCACGGTTAACAAATAGAACTCTTCACCTTGTGTTTCTCACTCACGCTGTTGACGGTGGAGCTTTAACGGAGGAAGATTGAGGCAAACCGAGCGATGCCACTAGGAGACAAATGGCGCCCAAAGTGTAGTCCGTTGGAGAAGTAGCCGGAGGTGGGTAATCCACGGGTTGATTAGTGAGCATGATACTTCTGGACGGTGACTGGGGATATTTTGGGCAGTAATGGACCAATTCAGAATGGACAGGATAACAGTTTTCCTGGTTCAAAAGTTCGGGACAGCCACTAGAATCTTTCCAGAATTCTGGAATTCGTTCAGGACAGCAGTTGAATTTTTTTTCTGGACAGCAATGGAGTTATCTAGGATTTCTGGACAGCATGCATGTTCTGTCCAGGGATTT